TGATGTATACAGGGCAGACCCCAGCCGCCCCTGACTGTTCCCTTTAGGCCATGGAACATTTCTTTGGATCAATGGCTCCACTGCAACCTCCAGCGAAGTTGCACCTATCGGTACTAAATTCTTAAATTGCACCATTTCGGTTTCAAAAAGCTTAAGGCGAGCTCATCACCCTCAATCCTTGCCATTGGCAGATTTATGGATCAGATCCCGGAGCGCACAATCCACACAATGGGTTCTACTGCAGGTCCCCGCAGTACAGCCAGTGAGGCTGCAGAGGCGCTACAGCTCCTGAGCGGTGCAAGGGAGGCGGTGGATGAAGGCCAACATGACCGGGTAGGGGTAAGGGTAGGGGTGGGGGTAGGGGTAAGGACAGTGCAGGGCAGTGCGGCGAAAATGGATAGGGGAGGGAGAACCCCCAAAAGGGCACATGCTGCATTATTTTGCATTGTTACTTCATATGTATGGATTCTGTGCAAATGCTTGGTGGGGTTGCAAGCCCTGCCTTGCTGCCTGCCTGTCCTGTCCACCATAAGGTGTTTTATTCCTGGTTTCCCAGTTTGTATAATAACTGTGTTCGTAATGTACTCCTGCAGGCTCTGGAGCTTTACAGCCGGTTGGTAGCAGAGCATCCTGACTTGGCACTGTCAGAGTACGGCAGGATCGGGAAAGCGATGATGCTGTACCAGGTCCGAACCGCACAGGGGTTTGGGGAGAGGGAAGTTAGTGGAAAGGAAAGGGTGGTGTCTAGATTGTTCCGTGACGCTGCCCAAGGCTTTTAGTAGAAAGCGCTTAGAGCGCACGCTCCATCACGCACCTGCTGGTGGTGTCACTGCTGCTTCTGCTCCTGATGTTGCTGCTGCCCGCTGCTAATCTTCTTGCTGGTGTTCTTGCAGCTGTCCTGTTACACATCTCGGCGCTCCTTAACCTACACCGCATCTCTCCCTCTTTGATTCTCTATCTATCTATCTATCTATCTATCTATCTATCTATCTACTTATCTATCTATCTACTTATCTATCTATCTTTCCCCACCTGCACAGGTCGGCCGAACCTCTGACTCCATCCTGGCACTCGAGGTACATAGTATCGTATGGCAGCCGGTTAGAGAATAGCGCGGCTAAGGTCACGCAGGTTTCGGAGCATCTAAAATATGCTGTGTAGCACCAAACCAGCCAAGTACCAACAGTCTAGGATATAGGGGGTCCAGGTTGAGGCCAGCCTTGCCATCAGTACCACTACTCATTCCAGGCTGGATCCTTGCCGTTATACAGGGTCTTTCTCCAATGGATATTACGGGCTTTAAATCCTGAATCCTTATCAGCATCATCAGCATCATTAACCTCACCAGCATTATGGTCACCAGTTATCCCACCATCGATGGTTGATATCAACTAAAATTGGAAGTCCGGTGGTGGAGGTGACTTCCCCTGTCGCTTCTTTCCCATCCCTCTCCCCTATCCACTCCTGCCTTTTCCAGGATGAGGAGGTGGCCATGCGAGGGGCTGCGGAAGTGCATGCGGCTCTGGCGGCCCTGCTGTACTCGGAGAGACCCAACTTGGCGCTAAGGGCTGAGGAGGTGAGGAAGCACCCACACCCACATTAGCACCTGAACATGCACTCACGGTTTTACCTCTAGTCGCACCGCACCTGCGCCTGCACCTGCAGCACCGCACTCCATTCGCACCTACAGCACCTTCATCTGCAGCACCTGAAGCACCTAGTCAACTGCGATGCTCGGCAACTCCTATACGTACATCTTGGATGTGGCTGTAGACATATGAGAGGGATGAATCGATTCATATCCATGCCTCCATCTCCATTCCCATCGCTGTCGCCGCTGTACCTCATCATGCATGTTCTGCTGCTGGTTGTGCAACTTTGATGGAGTACCTCCGCACTCGTGTCCAGCTCTTTTGCTTTATTGATGCAGATCATGCAGTAGGTATGTCCCTGTTTGCCAGCTGGATAGTTGTTGCAGACTGTGTTTCTTCTATGTGTGTATGTTCTTTGTAGGAGTGGAACCTGGCATGTCTGTTTGACAAGCGCTACAAGGACACCGAGTGGGTGAGAGTCAACAAGCACTGGCCCCCGCGCATGATTGTGGCACTTCAGAAGTTTCTAAGCTTGTCATAATCGATGGAGGTTTGAGAGGAGCAGCTTACTTGGTGAGGGAGAGCAGTGGCAGCAGAGCAGTGGCAGTGACAGCAGCGGGGGCCAGGGTGTCAAGGCAGGGGGAAGCAGTGAAGGATTAAGCATTGTGGAGATGGCGGCAGAGGCAGACGACAGGAAGCATGGCGCGGGAAGGCTGGCTGGCTTGGAATTTATGTATGAGGGGGTAGCGGTAGTGGTGAAGAAGGTAGCCGAGAGGGAGGCAGCAGGTTCAAGGCCCCTAGTGCGGGGTTCTGGTTTGCAGAAACCGCAGCACTAGGTTCTGACATCGCGCCGTGTTTGTTTTGAAATGGAACATGGCCGTCTATCAGTTAGGCATGAAAGCTGTTGGAGACTTGCTCATGGAGATTGAGTGTAGGGATGTGAAGCAAACGAAGATATATAGATGCTGAGGCGTTAAGGCGAATACCGCCCCCTATGCAGGGGGCTATCTGATGTCATCGGATGGTTCTGGTGGTGCGGGTTCTGGGCCAGGCGGATGCTCGGCGGCCATTATGGTCAATGCTTTTTGGAAAGGCCCCAAAAGCTGAATGCTGAAGCGTATTTTATAAAATGCAGTTAGTGCTGCCTGCTGCAACTTCCATGCACATTCGGTAAGTCCCTCGCAGTTCCTCGGAACCAACTGTTATCATCAAGGCATCAAGGTTGCTAAACAATATCGCTTGCAAATCCACCTAACAACCAACGGAATATCTTTCTTGAAGTTTTATAGTTTATGCATGCATTAAGGCGACTCTTCCGCTCACAAAAGAACGGCGCATCGTTTCGACAGATTCCGACACTTCCCGACGTTGGCATCCAACCGCATGCAAGCTTTGATAAAACGACGGCGCCTTGCCAGATGTTCAGCACAAGCATACACAGCCCTGATCGATACTGATAAACCTTTCCTGTTTGACGTGAGGTTCAGATCCTGACGTAATTTGCACTTTAAGGGCCGCATCGAAAAGCCCAGCAAGGTACCAAAAGCTAAGATCACTCTGTGGCACAATATTTAAAATTTAACACATCAGGCCAAATGATGTTCGTCAGCCAGCGACCTTGCTTCCGCCTGCAGGCGCACAAGTCGCGACCTTGGCGGTGAGCAACCTAGCCAGTCGAGAAACTCCGAAGCGTAGCACCTTGTTTTCCCATGCTGTTCAAACGGGGTATATTTGTTTTCAATCTAGACCGATTTGCACGTCAGTTCTCTATCTGGATTAAGTCGATGAGGACAGAATAGGACGTTGATCCCCTGGCTTATTAAGAGTGACGAAGTCCGTCCACGAGCTGTATTTTGTTATTCGTCACCTCGTTTATTCACATTTGTCGCGTCCTTCCGATAGATCGCCAACTTTGCCTTCGCTCTCACATATTACAGGATTACAGGACTCCAGGCCATAAGGCATGTCCAATTTCCTTTCCTTGTTCAGCATCGCCCAATCGTCCCGGCCAATGCACTGTCGGGAACAGCGCCGACAAGCAGCAGAGGCTCCAGCCGGCCTACCAACATCCCCATCCCATATTCGGAGCTCGTTATTGGTAAGGACACGTAACCTGCATATTAGCATACGCATATATGTATCAACCGACGTAGGGAATTGTGAAACATACTTCGGAAGCCTTCGGGCCGAGTTTTTTGCGCAGGAGCGGTTAGTAATGGCGATAGAGTGTTGAACTATCGAAAGGCCGTTGTTCTGGCGTTGTCCTTGCAGGTGTTCCTCGCGAGGCTGCTCCCGGGGAGCGGCGTGTAGCGCTGAGTCCACCCGCTGTAGCAAACCTCCTAAAGCAAGGATTCAAGAGCGTGCTCATCGAGAAGGGCGCTGGCGAGCAGGCGCAGTTCACGGTGAGTGAGACTTGTGAGACTTGCAAAGCTAATATGGGTCGAATGCGCAAGCGATTGCCAGACCTTTCCTAAGAGTGGGCAACCAACAGGCTTTTTAGCTCAGCCACAATTTCACTGCTCAATTAGCAACCTAGACCGGCGAAAACAAGTACAGTTTAGTAGTCTCATATAGCAATAAAGCTGTTTGATCTGTGAGTATGAATAATGTATGGCTCCGAAAGCTCCACCGGAACCAAAAATCAAATGTGCATAAGGCAGCAGAGTTGATTCTTCCTCCACATCGTTTCCTCCCTCCTTTTGTTTATAATACAAATACCAAATTGCGCGTCAGCTTTGTTCGGAGGTTTAAATATGCGAAATGCCCCTAAAAGCTAATTTGTTGCGTGTTTGTTGCCACACTTCACTCCTTGTCGCAGTTACCGCAAACATGTATCACCTAGCCGCCAAAGTCCTTTTGCAATTTGCTGGTTCTTTACCCAGATGTATTAGAACTCCCATATTTCAACAATACTGTTGCAAGTGCCATTCCTATAGGAACACCCGAAACCAGTTCCTACGCCGTAGCTCGTTCCGTAGACTGCTGTAAACATTCCTATCCGTAGGAAATGTGCTACGCCGCGGCCAGCGGTGTAGGAATTTCCTATGCGATGGAATGGTGCTAGCGGTGCTTTATTCTGTGCTTCCCTTTGGGCGCCGCTAGATAGCGCAACACTAACGTTTATTGATTTGTTGCAAGATACACGGTTTTCAAGTTAGTCTCATCGTGGTTTTATGGCTTGCGAATACACGAGCGTAAGAATTACGTAGCGTAGGAAGCTTACGACGTCGAGTCCGCTGGAACCAAACCTTATGGAAATGGGCAGCCGAAAGAACCAACGGGCTTTGTCAAACGTACTGACAAGTTCCTTCAGTTGCTGGCTATTGTGTGTCTTTTCCGCATCTACTTTGTCGCAACAGGATGCAGAGTACGCAGCTGCGGGAGCGACCATCTTGGATGGCGACCAGGTCCTCTTCGCCGCCGACATCGTACTGCGTGTACGACCGCCGTCGGTTATGGAAGTGGAAAAGATGAAGGAGGGGGCCATGTGGGTTCCAATGGTTTTGGTGAGGGTCGACAGATGTGACACCAGAATGGCTTATGGATTTGATTCATCAAATCAGTACTCGACCCATTTTTGTCAGCTGCTGCCTGTCTGTACTCAAAAAGACAAGGTCCCCGCCTTCATTCGTTTGATAAAATAACATCTTTTAAGTCTTTTTGAACCTATTTTGCGTCCACACGCAACCTCATGCCTGGACTGGTCATGCACGTATACTCCTCTCCTGCTCAACAACTCGACTGCCAAATTTCTGATCATCCATACCCCGATCAGCCATATCTTTGCACAGCAGATTGGTTAATGCCTAAATTCTGTCGGATCTGCAGTTTACTGTACTAGTATCGGGCACCAATGTGCAACACGCGGACTGCAGTCTCCGGTCCTCTAGGATACATTCGCCTAATGGCTACAGGACATCCCGCTGAGCATAGTAGCGGCGAGGAACAAGGGTAGCGACTCGTGCAAGGGAAGGACGCAGGGCTTCAAGATCTCCACTAATGTCCTTCTTTGCCTTCACCGCCACGCAGCCTGCTCAGCTACCTGTACCCCGCCCGCAACAAGGAACTCGTGGAGGCGCTTGCCAAGCGCAACACCACCGCCATCGGCATGGACTGCATTCCCAGAACAATTAGGTACGGCTTACATGTAGGGCATATGTAATTCCAGCAAATTTCAGTACCGCTTCTGTCGCCTGCCGGACATCTTCCCTCCCTCGCTCCCTTATCGTGTTCTTAACCACCACCGTCCCGTTTCCCCCCTACCTACTGTTCCTCCTCCTCCCCTCCCTCCTTTTTCCCTTTCCTGCAGCCGAGCGCAGATGTTCGATTCCCTCAGCTCCATGGCCAACATCGCGGGATACAGGGCGGTGACTGAGGCGACTCAGTACTTCGAGCGCTTCCTCAACGGCCAGATTACCGCCGCAGGGCGCATTCCTCCGGCCAAGGTGCTGGTGATCGGCGGCGGCGTGGCGGGCCTGGCGGCTGTGGGCGCTGCCAAGAGCCTGGGCGCCATCGTGCGCGTGTTCGATACCCGCGGCGCCGTCCGCGAGCAGGCCAAGTCCATGGGTGCGGAGTTCCTGACGGTGGACGTGCACGAGGAGGGCGAGAGCGGCACCGGCTATTCCAAGGAGATGAGCGCTGCGTTCATCGAGGCCGAGGTGCGTGTTGCAGGGGTGGGGCGGATGTACGAATGGGTGATGCCATTGTGAGCCGAGGAAAATGAGCATTTGGCTAATGTCTCCGGTTTTTAAGGCAATACTTGCTGCTCCAGGGCCCTAGAAATAGTACTCGGAACTAGTTGGCTGACGCGCAGTTACTTGAGTCCCGCTTGAAACGTCTTAAAATCATGAACCCGCCGTATCATCATCCCAAGAACCCGTATCTGTACCAGTATCAGAATCTTCTATTCCATATGTCGGCCACTGATGGCCTGCCAATCGGCCGTTTCAGCAAAACTGGGAATGGCTACACTCGCACCCCGCAGATGAAGCTGTTCGCGGCACAGTGCAAGGAGGTGGACATCGTCATTACCACGGCGCTCATACCCGGCAAGGGCGCGCCGCTGCTCATCACCAAGGACATGGTGGACTCCATGAAGCCTGGTACGTGTGGCTGTCAGTGGGGTGTATTACTATTGAAGTGTGCGTGCATGTGTGGGGAACATGAGAGAGATGTGTGATGTGTGAAACAGGGGGTTGTTTCTTCGCCCGTGGCAGCTACCCTGCGAAACCCTGCCTTCCCCGGTATTTCGGGGCACCCTCATCCAGTCACCCTAGTCAACTTCTCAGTGGATCGCTCATGTTCCGCACCCACCACCAGCATCCAATGGAATCTGCCGGGTCGACAGCGGCCCAACTCCATTCCTGGTCGGCTCGCAGGTTATCTTAATCCCAGGTCACCACCGTCTATCAACTAGGGGCGCAATGCCTTTCACCATCGGAAGGACTTTGACCCTATTGGGTATCGATCCCGGGATCACCCGGGGGCAATGGTCGCGCGATACCAGTAGTGCCAAACCCTAGTATATCTTTTGACACCTTGGAACTCTGCGGGTACAAGACACTGTTGACAAGACTGTAGTGGGCACAGAGAGACTGTGTTGGCACGGAAGCAACAGGCATGACGTTACTCTCTGTTAGTATGCTTTCATTAATATATTGAGGGTAAGCCGAACCACTGACGATTGAAGCAGAGATACCAGAGATAGACGGACAATCCAGGAGAAGTCAAATACTGTGTGGGAGTATTTACCGACCAATGATGACTTGACTAGCGGTCTTGGGGAAAGCATTGGCTTTCTGCCAACCACACGGAGGTGAGAGCTAAAGGACGTATGGATGTCCTTCCTAATGCCCCTCCCAACTCCCTCACGCACCTTTGGGAGCCGGCGCGTGATGGCGGTGAGCTCCGGGCAGCTCCGGGCAGCCGAAAAGACGTGTAAATAGGTGTATAAATGGACAAAGTACTCTTGGTCTTCGCTTTGTTCCGGAGTGTCCTGATGTCCTGATTCGTCCGTGACTTGCAGGCTCTGTAATTGTGGATCTGTCCGCGGAGGCTGGTGGCAACTGCGCCTACACCAAGCCTGGTGAGGTGGTCCGTACCCCCAACCGCGTGACGGTTGTGGGCTACACCGACATGCCCTCCCGCATGGCCGGCCAGTCGTCCAGTCTGTACGCCAACAACATCTCCAAGCTGCTGCTGTCGGCCGGGCCCTTCACGGGCGGACCCAAGGGTCACCTGAAGATCGACCACGCGGACCCTGTCATACGGTGCGCCCCAAGTTGCTTGATCTGAGTCACGCTGGGTTGTGTGGGCTTGAATCGCTCTCTGATTTGGGTCGGAATCGCATACCTGATCTCCCAAGTGCCCCATTGCCTATAGCTGCATGGCTCGCATGCATCAGGCTTAGGGGCATTTCCATTCAAATCGATGTAAGCGTGTGCTGTCTTACTCCAAATCGAGTGAAACAAGGACATTCGTGTCCAGAATGGAAGTTTTGGATGCAAGCAGGTTTGGATCCAAATTAAGGGTTTGGGGGTGGGTGCGCCGCGTGCTGCTGCTGCTTGGGGTATCTTCGGGATAGTTAGGTGTCGTGTTAGTTAGGGGTTATGTCAGTTAAGGCGTCGCGTTAGTTGTCGTGTTTCTGTAGGGTCGGGTTGGGTGATTGCTTTGGTACGCAGTCGTGGATGTTTGGGTGTGGGAGATGGTGCCACTGATCCGCCTTCAACAGGCCTGCATCACCCGGCACCCCCCACACGGCGTCCGAGTCTGCGGACCCGAGTGTGCGACCTACCTGCATGCATCCCTCCCCACCTACCTACCACCACTACCACCACTACCATCACCCTGCGCCATCTCCTCACTCATCCCAGTGGTTCGCTTGTGCTGGAGAACGGCGAGCTGCGCTGGCCGCCGCCACCCGGCGTTATCCCCGTCGCTAACACCAAGATGAACACCGAGAAGGAGACCAAGAAGGAGACGGGTCCGATAGATCTGTACGAGCCGACCAGGAAGAACGCTATGGCCACTTCAGCGGCTATTGCGGGTAGGCAGGCATGCACCTGGATGAGGAGAAGTAAGAATTGAAGCCCTTTTCCTTTACATATGTTATACAGTAGGCTTCTAAAGCCTTCTAGGATGGCCAAGAACGATGCAAAGAAATACAAGTCGACAAGCGCGTGGCATGGCCGTGAGGCAGAACCCTTATGCAGTTTTCGTCACTCTGCATGTATATGCCCTGCCTCACCAGCCCGTCTTGCCGCAGACACAAACAACCCCAAACAACCCCAAAACGACCCAACTCCTGCTCTGACTTTCCATCCTCGCAGGCACGTTGCTTGTGGGCGCTGCTTCCCCGAACGCCGCCTTCTCCTCCATGTTGACCAAATTTGGCCTGGCTTCCATCTGCGGCTACCAGACGGTGTGGGGTGTGGTGCCCGCGCTGCACTCGCCGCTTATGTCAGTCACGAATGCCGTGTCGGGCCTTACGGCCGTGGGCGGTATGGTGCTGGCGGGCGGCGGTGTCATACCCCACACCCCAGCCCAAGCCCTGGCGGCGACGGCAGTAGCTGCTTCGGCAGTCAACATCGGCGGCGGCTTTACCATCACGCAGCGCATGCTGGACATGTTCAAGCGCCCCACAGACCCCATCGAGTATAACCAGCTCTATGCCACGCCGGGTAAGTAAGTCGCCGGGAAAAAACTAGGATTGAGAATTTCTTGCTTCAGCGCTTGCAACGTCGGTTGGGAAAGAAAACCTCCTGGTTCATTATGGTTGAATTTTATGGACATTATGCATCAGCTGTTCCACCCGCTGTACTCGTCCACGTCTCTTTACCTCGCCCCCTTTTTTCCCGGCCTCTCAGCTGCCACGCTGGTTGGCGGCTACGTGCTGGGCTCGCTGCTGGCCGGCGGGGACGCCCCGGGCATCACCTCTGCCGCCTACCTCGCCTCCTCGTCGCTGTGCATTGCCGCCATTGCCTGCCTGGCCAACCAGGCCTCCGCGCGGACAGGTGAGAGGAGACGCTGACCACGCAGGGCTGCTGGGAGTGTGTTTCCTTGAAAGCCACTGCAGCGTTTTAGGGAGGTGTCAGTGGATGGGTTGCCCTTCCGTAAGACTAGGATAATCTAAATCATTACCGACAAGGATGCGCATCACTTGCGACGTGCAAAGCCTTGCTCGAACAGCCCGAATTACGTCTTGTTGCGCGTCCCGATCTCCCCTTGGCACCCAACAGGTAACGCGCTGGGCATGGCAGGTGTGGGGGCCGGCATCGCCACCACGCTGGGTGTCATGCACGCACCGCTAGCCGTGTATGCGCAGGTGCTGGCCATGCTTGGGGCGGGTGCGACCGCCGGTCACTACATTGGCAAGAAGATGAAGATCACGGAGCTGCCTCAAATGGTGGCGGCCTTCCATTCGCTGGTGGGGCTGGCGGCGGCGGCGACCTCCATCGCCAACGTCATGGCGGCGGATCCTGCTCACGGACTCGACACGACGCATAAGGTGGGTGCGCTTCCAAGTGCAAGTGCAAGAAAAAGGGAAAACAACGGGAAGATGCAGAAGATTTCATCTTAATATCATTTTTTGGAGCCCCTGCGTGATCTGATGCAACTGAATGTTGTATTTCCTGTCGGGTCTGTCAAAGGTCGCTTAAACATATCTTATCAATGGCGAAGGAACGGGACAGGTTTTGTACGGCAAGCATGTTGTTTAGGCGCTGCAGTACCTCTGGATGCTCAGTCCGATGTTACAGCTTCTCCTTTCTTTCCTGCTCTGTTCCGTTTCATGGGACGTGGATGTGCCCCCGTGTCGTGGATACGGACACATGATTACATATGTGCATGCATACATACATGCATCCACACGCGTGTGCGCAGGTGACTGCCTACCTGGCCGATTTCATCGGCGCCGTGACCATGACCGGCTCCGCTGTCGCCTTCGCCAAGCTGCACGGCCTCATGAAGCCCAAACCGCTCAACTTGCCCTTCAAGACCCAAATCAACTGGGCGCTGCTCGCCGCCAACCTCACCTTCGGCGCCGTCTTCCTGTCGGCCTCCGACGGCAATTCCGATGTCGCCGTGGCCGCGTTGGTGGCTGCGGGCATCCTGGCAGGTGTCCAGGGCGCACACATGACCGCTTCCATCGGCGGTGCGGACATGCCGGTGGTTATTACGTTGCTCAACTCCTACTCGGGCTATGCGCTGTGCGCCGAGGGCTTCATGCTCAACAACGACCTGTTGACAGCGGTGGGAGCGCTCATCGGCTCGTCGGGCGCCATCCTCTCCTACATCATGTGCGCGGTAAGCGGTCGGCGACACAGCTGAATCACGCCAACACGCAAACAGAAGCGCGGATGTGCGGATGTCTGATTAAGTAAACCGCAACTCACTCTTTTTAACATACATTTTTTCCTAACATTAAAACAAAAGCCAAAAAATCAGGCTCCTTTTCTTTCCTCGCACGCTCCTAGCGGGTGGCTAGGAGAGCGCCATGTTGCCGTTCTCCTATTTCAAACTTTTCAGTATCTGTTGGTCCGGTTGCAGGCTATGAATCGGTCGTTATTCAACGTCATCCTGGGAGGCTACGAGACCGCTGGGAAAACAAGCAAGGCCAAGGCCGTGAGTACCTAATGGGGTTCAAACCCCAGACATGAATTTGATAATAGGTGTACAGACAGCAGCTTCTCCGCCGCGATTACTGGTCCACGATTCAGGATCTTTCGGATCAGAATTCATAGCTAGCTTTGTGAAATTGCAATTTTCGGAAATTACATATAGTATACGGTACGCACACTGATAATTTTCAAGTCGCTGGACAAGCTCGACTCGCTTACGGCTCGATGACCACGATTCGAGAAAATCCACTTAGGAAAACTGATGTTAGGTTTTTGACCTTCTTTCACTCTGGAGTCGGCTTAAGGTCGAGTTCGGTTCTCACTCCCTAAACTTTCGTCCCTTATGGCTCACCCACTTGCACAGGAGGTCGGCACGCATCAAGAGATCGACGTCAACGGTGTCGCAGAGGCCCTGACCTCCGCCGCTAAGGTTGTTATCGTACCTGGGTACGGCATGGCGGTGGCCAATGCCCAGCACCCGGTGGCTGAGCTGGCCAAAAGCCTCGCGGAGAAGGGCGTGCAGGTAGTAACAGAAGCTTGACCTGTAACTGCTTGAATCGTAACTGGATGCAAGGATGGCCAGGAATGTAGTTTTGAGTGGGCGTGAGCCTGCGTCTGCATGTGCAGCGTCTACCAAAGGAGGGGGTGCGGTTCTCGGCTGAGGGACTTTCATGCGTCGGAAGAATGAACCGGTCGACGTCGCGACGTCGTCGTTTTCCTTGTTTCTCTTCTTCCCTCCCTCTCCTCCGTCGCCTCCGACGCCTTTCGGTCAGTCCTACGTCTGGTACACTCTTGCCCTGGCAGCAGCTTCACTCGTTCGTGGTTCGTCTTTCCCTCTCCTCCATCATGTCAGGTAAAGTTCGGTATCCACCCCGTGGCGGGTCGCATGCCCGGTCAGCTCAACGTGCTGCTGGCGGAGGCGGGAGTGCCGTACGACGGTGAGGACGAGACTGAGGGCTAGGAGAACCCTGGATGCTTGGATGCTTACAAGTGCCTTGTTTGCCCCGACGCTGCTCTGCGCGCGTTCATAATGCGTCTTAGGCCGCGTACGCATTAAAAGAGCCGCCTGCCTGGGAACCCCTCTCGCCTCGGTTCATGGTCCGCAGTTGTGTTCGAGATGGACGAAATCAACGAGGAGCTTGACGACGCGGACGTGTGCCTGGTTATTGGCGCCAACGATACTGTCAACAGCGCCGCAGTCGAGGACCCTAACTCCGTCATTGCGGGTGAGTGGATCAGCCGTGAGGTTGCGCTACACCTTGAACTGCCGGTCCTTGCTTGGCATCATCTGCGTGCCCGCTCCCATCACCAATGTTCCCAAGCAGGCATGCCTGTGATCGAGGTGTGGCGCGCTAAGCAGGTCTTCTTCATGAAGCGCACCATGGGCGCCGGATACGCAGGCGCTGACAACCCCGTCTTTTACAAGGTGCGGCTTTTTAAGCGTTGGAACAGGGTTTGCCTTGCGCGACGGCAAGGAACGCCCGTCGGTCGGGTCTTGATGTCCGATAATGTCTGCCGCACAATCAATCTGGGAACGCATTTCCCATAACAACATCCATTGTGTGCGGACGTCAGTCGCGCGGGGAATGTTTTAAGGAATTTGTAGGAGGTGTAAAGCGACGCACATGCAATTTATGTCACGTAAATAATTTTAGTTTATTCATCCATGCAACGGTATTGCGTTACGAAAGCTAACGGTCGCTGATTGTTGGATGAAGCCGCCTCGTGTTGTATTCCCGCCTGCTACACGCAGCCCAACACCTGGATGTTCCTGGGTGATGCAAAGAAGATGACGGACACGCTGCTCACTCGCGTACATGAGGCCCTGGGCGTGAAGAAGTAAACCGGACAAGGGCGGTGCCTAGGTGGTAGACAGGTATATCGCTCGGAGCTTTCCTTCGTTGTTGTAGAAGGCGGCGGTTGTGCACCTGCACGCTGGGGTGCCTAGGGGGCCTGAGGCTGCGGGACGTCGCAAAGCTAGGAGCGAAAGATATCTGGCATGTGTGACCGGAAGCTTTACACCTGCAGCAGCATACCTGCAGCAGCATACCTGCAGTGAATTGAAATCCTCTCTTTTTCATTCCCGTATTGTTTTTCAAGCCCCTGCCTGTTGTAAGGAATAAGATCTTAGCCGCGAGGAGTGAATAAAGGTGTTGTTTGTTGTTGTTACTCTTACAGAGTGGGAGGCTTTAGGGCCGATTGAACAATGATGATGTGATATGCATGAAGAGTTAAAAGTCCGGTACGGAGAAGTTGATGTATGTGTAAGGCAGGCTTGCTGTTACCGGCTCTTGTGTGGCGTATTTCTCCGCGTATTGCGGATAGCGCCACGAGCAGACAGGGACAGGACGGTGGTGGGTTCTGGTTCTGGTGTGCAGCAAGCGGTGCATTTCTGGTCGTGTCGGTGTGCAGCAAGCATGTTGTACAACGCCGTGCCATCCATTGAATTGTCGAGTTGTTTTGGAAATCCTTTAATAAATGATTGAAGATTGTTTAAGTGAGAATTGTTTCCGTGGCACGGCGGGGATTCGGTGTTGTAGCGAAGATCGTTTCTCGATCTGGGTCATCCGCTTATCCTAGCAGCATCAACGAGAATCCTTGTGCTGCTGCTGGGGAGATGGTGCGAAGGTGCGTGTAGAATATATCGGATTGTGCAGGGGAGCGGCTTCCTACTGAAGTTTTACCAGCGCGGCCCTGTGTGCAGGGCTGGTGGGTATCGAAATTTCCAAGCATGGGTGTTTCCTGTACCAGTAGTACGAATGGTAATGCGAATGGTATTATGTGTGGTGCTGGCAATGTGTAATTTCATTGCATAATTGTGGGCGTGGTGGGACCGGCAAACTGTTTCCTTGGCATGGGTGGTGAAGTGGAGAGGTTACCAGCGCCGATTATCCTGGGCATGTAAGAGTGGCCCACGTCCGCGATCGGGCTACGGCCATATGAGGGGGAGGTGACGGATCAGGACTATTGCGAAATAGTCGATTAGTACGGCAGAGGTACAGAGGACATTAACATCGAATCAATGGCCACGAAATGTGTACATGATGAGCTTTGCTTGCGTTGCGCATTTGGTTAAATGTCAAAGCAAGCTCTAGCAAGTTTTGCTTTCTGCAAGCTCGCGACTTGGTTCGAGTCGCGGCACGCAGTTGGTTTCGGTGCACATTTGCTGTGATGGGGGCCTCGATCTGCCGGAGCAGGGGCACACACATAAGTCACGCTCTATGTGCGTTTCCGAAAGGGCATTTCTCCATGGACTCGTTAGGGTTGCACAGCCCACCACGTCGCGAGGTTCCTTTGGCCATGCAAGCGTGTTGACTGATTCCGACCTAGTTGTCAGGGCGTTAATAGGCAAACGTTCATGAATACGTTTAATGTAAAGTTTTAATTTGTCACCCAACTGTGGTCGCGCACCATGCGCCCATGACTGAGATTATAGCAACGTTAGCATAGAATGTTTTAGTGTGAACAATCACATTGACGACGGTACTAACGATCAGCTTCAGGGTGACCCTGACCTTGTTAGGGCGCTCGCTCGGCCTATAGCTGCCGTATGTTGTACGGTCAGTAGGTAACGCAACTTTACTATTACAAGATATCTCTTCAAAAATCCACAGTAAGGCGACAGGACGGGCGATGCTAGCAGCGCTCGGGCACAAGCTGTCGCTGGTTGCAGGGTAGCGGAAGGCAAAGTAACGGTATTCAGCGAGGGCCGAGACGGCTAAACAAGTCGTGCAAGTCGTTGATCATACGGATGCTATCATCGCCAGGACGGAAATAAACAATCCCGGGTCAACTGTGCTCAATCAGAAGGATGTGGGCGAACGTGCGCAATGGATTGAAATTTGGCTACCTCTTAAGTACGCTGGTGCATGAAACATCGCCGCGACATGCATGTAATGCACACATGGGCCAGCACAGGTGAGCAAACTTGTTCCGAGAGCGGAGGATGTGCCCGTCCCGAGACTCCCGGAACACAACAGTTTGACTTTATGCTCTTTGAGTCAACGGATGTGCTTGGTTCTGATCAAAACGTCTAAATGCTTTGTTTGCTCGGTGGCGGCCATTTTGGGGTCGCTCAGCACGTGTTCCATCGCTAACTGTATCTTATACTTAAGCGGACTATTTCCCATACTTGCCGTAACATTTCTGATTTTTGCTTGGGTTGCAGGGCCGTGCTGGTTCAACTCTTGGAGCGAGTTCGATTTTCGGGGACCGCGCCTTTCAGTACATCGGGGCTTAAAGACCCTAGCCAAGCCCCGATCCCCTATTCTGATCTTATCCTTGGTACGTAATTGATCTACATAATAACGAAGCTCCAGTAAACGTGGCATGGCTTTGAGCCGGCCCTTCCGCTTCTCCCGACTGAGGCCCACCGATGCCGGTTGCAAATAACAGTTGGTACTTCGGATAGAGGTAGACTACGTCTAAATGGATGTTTACTGTGGCATTCCTCAGCTTCATGGTTCTTGTTCTCGTCTCAGCTGTCGAACCCACGCTTGCAGGTGTTCCTCGCGAGGCCGCTCCCGGTGAGCGGCGTGTAGCGCTGAGTCCATCCGCTGTGGCAAACCTCATAAAGCAGGGATTCAAGAGCGTGCTCATCGAAAGGGGTGCTGGCGAGCAGGCGCATTTCACGGTAAGGATACTTTCCGTACAGACTGTTGTCCGTTGTACATTCGAGTCTTCCCTTAACCATTTCCATTGGGCCGAGCCCCAGCCAACCATATGGACCCTGCGAAACGCTTCGCGCCGCAGGATGTTGAGTACGAGGCTGTAGGTGCAAAAATTGTGGATGGCAAGGAAGCGCTTGCTGCCGACGTCGTATTGCGCGTACGGCCGCCCTCACTGACGGAAGTGAACAAGATGAAAGAGGGTGCCATGTAGGTCGGATATGTGCCTGACGCCCACTAGCGCCCTTTCGTGCTTATACTACGAACATTCGTGGGAATTGCTTTCGTCAGAAATGGAGCTATGAGGCGGCACATGCACGACACATGCACGCGCATGCAGCACGGCTGGTCCGGTTCTTGGGCTTCTGCTCTATCATTCCTTAGCTTGGGTCATCGTAAACACACAAGCCCAGTTCTAACCTACATCGACGATACTTCGTGTGTTCACTACGACATGACGCAAAGGCGGGTTTGATTCTATCCTAGCTTTCTGCCAACTGTCACGGATCTGCAGTTTACTGTACTAGTATCGGGCACCAATGTGCAACAAGCGGACTGCAGTCTCCGGTCCTCTAGGATACATTCGCCTAATGGCTACAGGACGTCCCGCTGAGCATAGTAGTGGCGAGGAACAAGGGTAGCGACTCGTGCAAGGGAAGGACGCAGGGCTTCAAGATCTCCACTAATGTCCTCCTTTGCCTTCACCGCCACGCAGCCTGCTCAGCTACCTGTACCCCGCCCGCAACAAGGAACTCGTGGAGGCGCTTGCCAAGCGCAAGACCACCGCCATCGGCATGGACTGCATTCCCAGAACGATTAGGTACGGCTTACATGTAGGGCATATGTAATTCCAGCAAGTTTCAGTACCGCTTCTGTCGCCTGCCGGACATCTTCCCTCCCTCGCTCCCTTATCGTGTTCGTAACCACCACCGCCTCGTTTCCCCCCTACCTACTGTTCCTCCTCCCCCCCTCCCTCCTTTTTCCCTTTCCTGCAGCCGAGCGCAGATGTTCGATTCCCTCAGCTCCATGGCCAACATCGCGGGATACAGGGCGGTGACCGAGGCGACTCAGTACTTCGAGCGCTTCCTCAACGGCCAGATTACCGCCGCAGGGCGCATTCCTCCGGCCAAGGTGCTGGTGATCGGCGGCGGCGTGGCGGGCCTGGCGGCTGTGGGCGCTGCCAAGAGCCTGGGCGCCATCGTGCGCGTGTTCGATACCCGCGGCGCCGTCCGCGAGCAGGCCAAGTCCATGGGTGCGGAGTTCCTGACGGTGGACGTGCACGAGGAGGGCGAGAGCGGCACCGGCTATTCCAAGGAGATGAGCGCTGCGTTCATCGAGGCCGAGGTGCGTGTTGCAGGGGTGGGGCGGATGTACGAATGGGTGATGCCATTGTGAGCCGAGGAAAATAAGCATTTGGCTAATGTCTCCGGTTTTAAGGCTATACATGCTGCCTTAGAAAGCCTTAAGATCTCCAGGGCCCTTCCAAAACCCTAAGTTACTTGCTTCCCAATAGAAATGTCTGTTCCATATGTCGGCCACTGATGGCCTGCCAATCGGCCGTTTCAGCAAAACTGGGAATGGCTACACTCGCACACCGCAGATGAAGCTGTTCGCGGCACAGTGCAAGGAGGTGGACATCGTCATTACCACGGCGCTCATACCCGGCAAGGGCGCGCCGCTGCTCATCACCAAGGACATGGTGGACTCCATGAAGCCAGGTACGTGTGGCTGTCAGTGGGGTCTATTACGTTTGTAGTGTGCGTGCGTGGGGAACATAAATATCTTTTGACATCTTCGAACTCTGCGTGTAGAAGACACTGTTTACAAGACTGTGTGGGCACTGAGAGACTGTGTTGGCACTTACTTAGCAACAGGCATGACTTGTTGCACCAAGATACCAGCAGACGTATCCTTTATGAACGGGTGCACCGTGCATATTTTGAAGACGAGATGGTTTGCCTGGGAACGAGCTACAGCGGTAGGATCATCTACAGCTTGAACCCAGCCATATTACGTGACTTCGACTATAGTAAGCATCTTTGTCCGTGACTTGCAGGCTCTGTAATTGTGGATCTGTCCGCGGAGGCTGGTGGCAACTGCGCCTACACCAAGCCTGGTGAGGTGGTCCGCACCCCCAACCGCGTGACGGTTGTGGGCTACACCGACATGCCCTCCCGCATGGCCGGCCAGTCGTCCAGTCTGTACGCCAACAACATCTCCAAGCTGCTGCTGTCGGCCGGGCCCTTCACGGGCGGACCCAAGGGTCACCTGAAGATCGACCACGCGGACCCTGTCATACGGTGCGCCCCAAGTTGCTTGATATGGGTCGCGCCGGGTTATGTGGCCTCGAATCGCTCTCTGATTTGGGTCGGAATCGCATGCTGTTCCTTTCTGTCCGGATCATCCGACTTGATTACGGCCGGCACCTTCTCATGAAGATGTGGGTCATGTCGAGTTACCACCAGTTGAAGCCAGTCGTCCTCGACGTCGGGAGAGGAGATGTTGATTGGGCTCAGGAGATGGAGGATAAGTGCAATAAGGCATGCCTGCTGGGGACTGGATCGTTGCGCGTTGGTTATCCCACTTTCGCGGTCGAGTGCATTGCGCAGTACTGGCAGTTCGCAGCTCCTTCCCCTTTGCTGGCCAGCCCCATCTCAAAAGCGTCACGCTTCTATCCTAGCACCCATCAACACATTCCAGCGCCATGACTGCCCATCACTGATTCCTCCTCCCTCATCCCAGTGGTTCGCTTGTGCTGGAGAACGGCGAGCTGCGCTGGCCGCCGCCACCCGGCGTTATCCCCGTCGCTAACACCAAGATCAACACCGAGAAGGAGACCAAGAAGGAGACGGGTCCGATAGATCTGTACGAGCCGACCAGGAAGAACGCTATGGCCACTTCAGCGGCTATTGCGGGTAGGCACACACCGGGCCCACTTTGCAGCCGCCCAATAACGCTTTCCGGCCTATATCGCAATTGTATTTAAGCCTGATTTTAGCCACTTTGTAATTGCCCTGCGTCCCCAGCCTGCCTTGCCCCCAAGCACTTCACAAGGACCCAACTTCTGCTCTGACTTTCCATCCTCGCAGGCACGTTGCTTGTGGGCGCTGCTTCCCCGAACGCCGCCTTCTCCTCAATGCTGACCAAATTTGGCCTGGCTTCCATCTGCGGCTACCAGACGGTGTGGGGTGTGGTGCCCGCGCTGCACTCGCCGCTTATGTCTGTCACGAATGCCGTGTCGGGCCTTACGGCCGTGGGCGGTATGGTGCTGGCAGGCGGCGGCCTATTGCCTAGCACGACCGGCCAGGCCCTGGCGGCGACGGCTGTGGCTGCTTCGGCAGTCAACATCGGCGGCGGCTTCACCATCACGCAGCGCATGCTGGACATGTTCAAGCGCCCCACAGACCCCATCGAGCACACGCGCCTCTACGCAGCCCCAGGTGAGTCAGTCAGGATGTAGCCAATATTTGTAAGATAGTGATGCAAGAGACAAGAGAGGTTATACGAACTGCTGGCCGGAATAGGTCACGTGAAGCCAGGTTGTGGAGTGAACCGTGTCCACGATGCAGCAGATGCGCTTCCACGGCAGGTGCATGCTCCTTCCAAAATCTGGCCAAAAAAAACCGCTCCTTGCATTTAGCCTATTGAAGACGTTATGGACCCTGCATCAGCTGTTCCACCCGCTCTACTCGTCCACGTCTCCTTCCCTCGCGCTTTCTTTCCCGGCCTCTCAGCTGCCACGCTGGTTGGCGGCTACGTGCTGGGCTCGCTGCTGGCCGGCGGGGACGCCCCGGGCATCACCTCTGCCGCCTACCTCGCCTCCTCGTCGCTGTGCATTGCCGCCATTGCCTGCCTGGCCAACCAGGCCTCCGCGCGGACAGGTGAGAGGAGACGCTGACCACGCAGGGCTGCTGGGAGTGTGTTTCCTTGAAAGCCACTGCAGCGTTTTAGGGAGGTGTCAGTGGATGGGTTGCCCTTCCGTAAGACTAGGATAATCTAAATCATTACCGACAAGGATGCGCATCACTTGCGACGTGCAAGGCCTTGCTCGAACAGGCCGATTTACGCGGCTTATTGCGCGTCCCGATCTCCCCTTGGCACCCAACAGGTAACGCGCTGGGCATGGCAGGTGTGGGGGCCGGCATCGCCACCACGCTGGGCGTCATGCACGCACCGCTAGCCGTGTATGCGCAGGTACTGGCCATGCTTGGGGCGGGTGCGACCGCCGGTCACTACATTGGCAAGAAGATGAAGATCACGGAGCTGCCTCAAATGGTGGCGGCCTTTCATTCGCTGGTGGGGCTGGCGGCGGCGGCGACCTCCATCGCCAACGTCATGGCGGGTGACCCCACGCATCTGGACCTCATGCACAAGGTTGGTGCTATCCGCCGGGCCACTAGAACCTGCTTTACGGCCGTCCTAAAGAACCATCTCCTCTCCATTCTCACTCCTGCTGTCTCCAGGTGACCGCCTACCTGGGTGACTTCATCGGCGCCATCACCATGACCGGCTCCGCCATCGCCTTCGCCAAGCTGCACGGCCTTATGAAGTCCGAGCCGCTTAACTTGCCTAACAAAAACGAGATTAATATGGGGCTCCTAGCAGCTAACCTGCTCGCGGGTGCGGTGTTCCTGGCATCTGACGGCTCGTCGACTGTGGGTGTGTCTGCGTTGGTGGCTGCGGCCATCCTGGCGGGTGTCAAGGGCGCACACATGACCGCTTCCATCGGCGGTGCGGACATGCCGGTGGTTATTACGTTGCTCAACTCCTACTCGGGCTATGCGCTGTGCGCCGAGGGCTTCATGCTCAACAACGACCTGTTGACGGTGGTGGGAGCGCTCATCGGCTCGTCGGGCGCCATCCTCTCCTACATTATGTGCGCGGTAAGCGGTCCAGCTTGGGGCTTGGAATTTATAGGAGAGGAATGGAGTATTATTTATAGGAGAGGAATGGAGTATTGCGCCTTTTGGCGGCACAATTGTTCTCCTGTAGAGGTAGGAGTTAATGGCTATGGTTGCAACTGGGCTTACAGTCCCCTTCTGCAGCTGTGCGATTGCCGCAAAGCTGAGTAGTGCCCTGGTGGATTCCACTTTTTTGCGTATTAGTACTCAGCATTCCTGTAACAGTGCAGCCGAAACCCCACGTAGCGAGCCTCTTGAAAACGCGTCACGGAACGTATTCCTGCAGGCCATGAACCGCTCTCTTCCCAACGTCATCTTGGGCGGCTACGAGACCGCGGGCAAGACTGTCGAGAAGAAAGTGGTGGGTCTATAAAGGCGACGGGGGAAGTACAGCTGCTTTCCTGCCTGGGCTTTAAGATGATCGGCCGTTCATGGCGAAATGGACGGCCTAATGGATGGAGGCTCGAGTCTCTCAGCTCTGGCTTCATATTATTAAGTTGCTGGACAAGCTCGACTCGCTTTACGGCGAGGAGAACCACGATTTGAAAAAATCGGAAATTGATGCTACGTTCTTGACCTTCTTTCACTTGACCCCCTTTCACTCTGGAGTCGGCTTAAGGTCGAGTTCGGTTCTCACTCCCTAAATTTTCGTCCCTTATGGCGCACCCACTTGCACAGGAGGTCGGCACGCATCAAGAGGTCGACGTCAACGGTGTCGCAGAGGCCCTGACCTCCGCCGCTAAAGTTGTTATCGTACCTGGGTACGGCATGGCGGTGGCCAATGCTCAATACCCGGTGGCTGAGCTGGCCAAAAGTCTCGCAGAGAAGGGCGTGCAGGTAGAACCGGCCAAAGGAGAGGGCAGGGGGGCAGGTAGACGGCATGGACGCAAGATAGCGTTTACGGATAAAACCTGCTGTGATGTTGCAGTGTAGCTGTACCATCCCCGTACTGTATCTGCTGCCTTTCCTCCCTCTCTTCCGTCGTGTCAGGTAAAGTTCGGTATCCACCCCGTGGCGGGTCGCATGCCCGGTCAGCTCAACGTGCTGCTGGCGGAGGCGGGAGTGCCGTACGACGGTGAGGACGAGACTGAGGGCTAGGAGAACCCTGGATGCTTGGATGCTTACAAGTGCCTTGTTTGCCCCGACGCTGCTCTGCGCGCGTTCATAATGCGTCTTAGGCCGCGTAAGCATTAGAGCCGCTGCCTGGGAACCCCTCTCGCCTCGGTTCATGGTCCGCAGTTGTGTTCGAGATGGACGAAATCAACGAGGAGCTTGACGACGCGGACGTGTGCCTGGTTATTGGCGCCAACGATACTGTCAACAGCGCCGCAGTCGAGGACCCTAACTCCGTCATTGCGGGTGAGTGGATCAGCCGCGAGGTTGCGCTACACCTTGAACTGCCGGTCCTTGCTTGGCGTCACCTGCGTGCCCGCTCCCATCACCAATGTTCCCAACCAGGCATGCCTGTGATCGAGGTGTGGCGCGCTAAGCAGGTCTTCTTCATGAAGCGCACCATGGGCGCCGGATACGCAGGCGCTGACAACCCCGTCTTTTACAAGGTGCGGCTTTCTATTGCAATTTTTAAGGAATTTGTAGGTGTAGCTCGACGCACATGCATCGCATGTCACGTCAATAATTAGTTCATTCATCCATGCAACGGTACTGCGTTACGAAAGCTAACGGTCGCTGATTGTTGGATGAGGCCGCCTTGTGTTGTATTCCCGCCTGCTACACGCAGCCCAACACCTGGATGTTCCTGGGTGATGCAAAGAAGATGACGGACACGCTGCTCACTCGCGTACATGAGGCCCTGGGCGTGAAGAAGTAAACCGGACAAGGGCATGAAATCCGCTTAGCTTGCGGGGGTTTAGGCCGAACTCCATTGGAGCTGGCGACGAGGGAGCCATGGTGGGTGGCATCCCAGGCTTATGATGTTATCCTTGGCTTATGATTGTTGAATTCAGTGCTTTCTATTCTCGTTGCGTCGTGTCTCCCTGTTCTTTGGTTTTATATGAGTTGTGGTAGTTGTTACGTGGTAGTCGTGAATCGGGGCCTTAAGCCTATACGTGGCGGGCAACTGGAGCGGTCCCATAGCTTCCAACTTGTTCGCGCGACTGCCGCAGCTGGCAGGTCAAGTGTCTCCACGTGTAAGCAATAACGCGCATGTCCGCGTGCTTATGTCATTTGGCATCTGAAGAGTCTGCCGCGCCCAAGAACGCAAGAATGACAATAGTATGGCTTGCTAGCAGCCATGGTGGTGCATGGCAAAATTTAGCGCACGGCATTGTGCTCTGGCGGACCGACGGCTCTCTTTGATATACAGCTGTCGTGTTGTTGTTCTCATTCTTTGCTTGTAGCGTTAAGATGCATGTATGAAAACTGACGGATTATGCCTGTTGCATGTCATTGTATGTGGGTGCCTGGAAGTAGTTGGGATGTCACTGACGCAGCTGTTAGCTGCTTGGTGTAGATGTTGTTGGTGATTAACATGGCTTTAGACTTCAGCCTTGTGCGTGACGGCTATTACAAATGCCTCACTGTTACCATACGGGTACATCCGGTAGAATGGGACAACAAGTATCTGATGTGGGTAGGCTGGCAGGGTGGACATAAATGTCTATTGGTCTTGGTATGGTGCGGTGCAGTGCAGTAAAGAGGCAGGTACCAAGTTAAGTTCACTCGGAAAAAATACACATCAGTAAGTAGATGTATCTCTGCCGTGTACACGGGCAGGCGTGGCGTACAGTGTAATTTACATGCGTGCAACTATGTAACGCTGTTGCCATGCAGTACCCAAATAACCAGTGCAAATTGGCAAAGATATGATCAAATATGTACGACCATCTGCATACAGTAAATATGCTCCGAGGCGACGGGTTTAAACCGTAAGAGGGTGATGGGTACGCCATCCAGAGTGGCCAGGAGTGATGTTCTAGCCCCCCACCCCACACAATCATTATTCATATGTACATCCACTGGGCGGAGGGAAGACTAAAGTGGCACGACTAGACAACTTGATAGCCAACAACCCTCCGTTGTTCGTTGCAACAGTATGCATAAGACGAATTGAGTCACGAAAACAGGTATATCAACAGTTGGACGTCGTTTGCTGGAGACGCCAAGCGGAATCGCCATCATGCGACGAGCTTGGCAACATTTAGGGCGTTAAACGTTATCGCTGCAACCGCAGCCAAGATAAAACAGATGGGACAGGATGCACGATACTCCCTCGTGCATGCACACGCCGGTGGTGCTGGTATACTAAACAAGCCCTAGTCTTGCCCCAGCGTCCATTTTCCATCCTGTGCATGAAGAAACCGTAAAATCGTCCGCCTAGTAAACCTTCCCAACAGTTCGTCCACGATACATAGCAGGCGTATGTGTTGTATAAAGACAGGGCACCGAACACTGCACTGGCACAATGTAAACCAACACTGCGGTGCCTCCGCGGACATAGCACATCAAGAGGCAGAGCAAGTAATGCCTTGCGCTAGGCTCAGGCGGCATTGCCCGCTACTTTCATATCGTCCTCTTTCGCCAGAGCGCATTGCGTGCAGTCGCCCTAGAGTGTCTGAACTTGACGACTTGGCATCTGGCAAGCCACACTCGCTGGGCCCCCCCCATCTTAACAGCGCTGGGGCCGCACACCTTCAAAACCCACATAACCCACGACTCCTGCCCCTTCATAAGCACACACGTATCCTCAAGCCCCGCCTGCTGCCAACAAAAACCACCTGCGCGAGTACCGAACACAGCACTCTACTTCGCATTCCTCCAAAAGACAGCGCAAGTTTCCCGGGGTTGGGCAGCACCGAATCCACCAACAGTAGAAGCTGCAGCGAGCCCTGAAGCAAGAGCACGGACGCGGAGAGGAACCAGCGCCTCGCGCCTTAACCGTCCTAACGTCTGCTCCAAGTGCCGTACACATGACATAAGCATAGAATTCAGTCTTATGATGTTTTCCTACAGCTGCCATTTCAGGAAAGGACCCCGCTTATGTTGTAGAAAACAGTAAACACAGCGATTAGAAGTAGAGGATAGGTTATGTGAATTGGTATGTGTAAAACTACCTGCTGCGCGGACGTGCGCACATGTGGGCCATTGACAGCAGAGGCCATCCTGCAGCTGGGCGCCTGCCTGGCGACCAGCGGAAGCTTTTCAGCATGTCTCCCCACCTCCCAAACCTGCCGGGACGCTCTCACCAATTGGGCAACAGGAAACGACCTGCTCGCCATCACATCATCACTTGTTCCAATTCCAGCTGTTGAGCAGTTTCGATACCTCCTCTGCGTATACGCGTTCCTGTGGGTTAGAGCGCCACAGCGCCGGCGCACAACAGCAGCAAAGGAAAGCAAAGCAACGGCCGAAAAGCTCAGGAAAACGAGACAGTTTACTTACCAGGCCTGACTTCCACGCCCGGGATTTTGAGCCGCCTTCATGCCATTGGCATCGGAACCAGCCCGTTAGACGGACCCCCTTGCAATAGGAATCACCAACGCCACGTCACACAACGCCCCTAATAAAACTAATAAATCCCCTTAATAGGTTGGACCACTACTGGCTACCGGTGCATCTCAGCACTGCTTCCATTCAGAGCTCCCAAGGACTGTAAAAAAAATGTCTCCCCGAAGTATCAGGCGCGCCGGCCCTTCCCTCTCATGTCCCGAACCTACCCTCGCAAAGCCCAGACGGCCCCTACCAGACGCCCTCGCATACGGCAAGCACGATTGCACGATAGCCGCCCCGTCCCACCTCCAGGCTCCCGGTCACTTTGTCCGGGTGGAACCGAATCTTGGCGGTCTTGAGCGCCTTGTTGCGCTGCTCCGCGGTGCGCAAAGTGGCGCCTGTGTGAGCAGAGAGCAGCGCAACGCCACCACAAGTGATGATGAGCAACGCCGCAAAGCCAGAGGTCAGGAAAGCATGAAAATGTGGACGGAAGCCTGATTTGGACACATGGCTGCGGGAGCGTCGCTGACACAGAACAATTATAAAACCCATAACGGTCTTCCGCCACTTCCTAACACGACAGGCCAACGGCCACCCACCTCAATTCGTTGCAATCCAAACGATAAGTCTCCGGTCTACCTCCGGCGCGTCCCCATTACTGCGCATCGCAAGCAATAACTACCACCACACATCCAACCAACCAACTAACCAACAGGTGCAACGACCACGACACTCCGTCACCACTTCCCTCGTCCCCAGCGGAGCCCGTATATGTACCATCATACAGGTGCTCACGAACCTTTTGGCAGCACCTCCAGCTGCCTCAGCAATCTCGACAGGCTGTGCTCGTCAAGGGCCTTACGCAGACGCTCCTGCAGGCTGTCTCGAATCTGCGGCACCCAGCACCCGGCACCCGGCAAGGCACACCAACGCACACGAACCCCGACGGTTACATAAGAACAACTGCTGCCGTGCACGTGTCCCCGTCGCGAAGGCTCCCCAATCCGCGACGTCAACGCGCCACCCGCCCCACGCCCGCCTTTGCAAAAGCGGGGCGTATAGATCAGGTGTCATAGTCATATATGCCATATAGTCTCAAACGAGAGCCAGCGCCGCTACAATCGCCGTACTAAACAGGTCCTTACCCGAGTCCGGATACCCTCCTTGGCGGCCGCCTCCGCTGCCGCCGCCGACGCCAGCTGGTGGTGGTCCGCCAGGCGCTGCTTCATGCGCCGCTCCAGCTCCCCCGAGGCAGCCTGAGCTGCGAGACGAGCGCGCCGGGCCGCCTCGCGCTCAGCCGCCGCTTCAGCACGCTGGCGCTCGATCTCGGCCTGCGGCGTCATCATGGAAACCAGGGGGAGCGACATGTTGTAAACCTACGCGGTCATGTCAGCCTAAAAAAGAGAAAAATCGTAGGAGGTAAAATGTAAAATAAAAAATTTACTTGTACACCACACATGCTCCTGGCGGTCCGGGGCGGTCCATTGAGCAACAGAGCTGACTGTTAACTGCACGCGGCATATAAACTCGGGTAATAGCCCTAGCCATCTTCTACAACTCCTCCTACGCCCCCCCTCATACTGCCCACAACAGTCTTCTTTCTTACTAATACACGGTGCACGTATATTAAGCGTCGTACCCTCTCTCCTGCAGACGGAGTGATCGTGACGGTGGTGTGTGTTTACGTTCAACCAGTCAAACAAACAGCGCGCTGCCTCGCTGACTTACCCGTCGCCGGCGCCACTCTTCCCTCTCCACCGCCGACATCCCCGCATCATCGTCATCCGGATGCCGACCACCGCCCTCGGCGCCGCCAGCGCTCCCGCCGGCAGCATCCGCAACAGCATGCGGGTCAGCAGCTGCGGTTGTTGTTGTGGCGGCGGCTGTGGTCGCGACATCAGCAGTCGCGTGACCTGCTCGCCAGCCTTCCGCACTGGAGGGGCCTTCAGGTCTTCCTTCACAGCCGCTTCCCTCGCGACCGCCCCCGGCGCCGCCGCTTCCAGAGCCGCTGCTGTTACGTCGCGACAACTCCCCATCCCCAACCCCATCACCACTCAGCCGGTCTGCCTCGGCAGGGCTTTGACCCCCTTCCCTGCCGTCTTCACCGCCGCCACTGCCCGGCGCAACCCCGGCAGCGCCAGCCCCGGCTACGGCCACAGCTGCTGGCGCATCTCTCCCACTTGGCTCTGCCAAGAAATTAATATCCGCCTCCGGCACTGACGGCCGTACCGGGCTTGTGGCCGTGTCTGACGGCGGTGGCCGCGAAGGAGTGTTCTCGCCGGGGTTGTTGCCGCTGGCGGGCTTGTGGGGATCGCTGGCGGCAACCGCCGCCGCCGCCGCCGCCGCCACGGCAGCGGCTGCTGCCGCCGACAGATGATTGGATGCCCCAGAAGCTGCTGCCGGGCCGCATCCTCCATCAACGTCAGGATGGGCACCCTCAGGTCCCTCTACAGTCGGCCGAAGCACACCCTCCCAAGCGGGGTGCAGTTTTTCCTCGGGGCTTTGGGTGCAGGCGGGGGACGATGACGGGGGCACCACCGGCGGCGGGGGTGCTGCGTTGGCACCAGCTTGAGCCGTACTGCACGGCACATCCGCTGAACTGAGAGGTGGCTGCTGTGCTGCTCCCCGACAAACACCATGGCCACCTGCAGGGGCTGCCGTCACCGGTGCGCCCTCCTGCACTGCGGCCGGCGGCATCGCCGCCGCAGCCGCTCCTACTGCCGCTGCCGTCGCAGTAGCAGTTTCAGTAGCAGCACCAGCACCAGCAGCAACAACTGCTATGCCATCCGTGACAGCTGCGCCCTGGGCCGTAACGTCACCAGCAGGCCCTTCGCCGCCGCCGCTGACGCCGCCACTGCTGCTGTGTTGAGCCGCCGCCCACGCCGCCGCCACTGCAGCCAGTTCCACATGCGTGCGAGGCAAGTCGCCCGCAGGCGCTCGGGTGTGAGCCGGCCTGCGCGCGGGCGCCACTGGCCTGTACCTGCGCTCAGGTTTCGCCGGATCAGAAGCCGCGGCTGGGGCAGTGGCGGCGGCGGCGGCACCTGCAACCGATCCCTGAAGCTCCGTCGTTGGCACCGCCCGACCTGGGGCGAGCGTCCTGACTGCCGTCATGAGCGACTCGTTGGCCCGGCTCAGCGAGCCAGGTACTCGCCTTGTCGGGCAAACTGACGGCCCTGAAGAATGCGGCCGGTGCTGTGCTGCCGCTGCAGCTGCTGCCGTCGCCGCCGTGGCAGCGGCGGCGGCGGTCGCAAGGCCCACTGGGGCCTCTGCCGGCGCTTGATCTGAGGCCGCTGTGGAAGGGCTGGGGTCAACGGGGGCTGTAGCAGCGTGTTCCTCCGCAGCCGGATCAGCACTGGTAGCGTCAGCACCAGCAGGGGCTCCGGTGGTAGTGGTAGCGCCCGCCTTGTCGCAGGGCTCCGGTGCTGCGACTGACGCGCCGGCTGCGGCAGCAGCTGCGGCAGTTGAGACGAGCTCCGCCTCTGATACCCCCGGCTGCGACGGGCGGATCTTCGAGCCCATCTCCGCCTCCGTCAGCGAAGCTGCCGGCCCCAGAGCACTCGGCACCCCCGCGACGACGGTTGTTGACGGAACGCCGTGCTGTGAGTTAGAGGGCGGCTGTTGGGGCCGCGTCGAAGGGGCAGGAATGGAAACCTCTGCCTCCGCCGCAGAAGCGTCCAGTGCTGCCGCATTCGCCATACACGTTCTGATGACAGGCCCGACATTCCCTGCCGTTCCAGGTAACGATAGACCAGACACGCACCCCTTCACCTGTTTTGATGTGCTTTCGTGGCCCGACGCGGCGTGCGCCCCTGCGGTTTGACCGTCCGGGCCCACAGCTGGCGGCGCAGGTTCAGCTGTCGGTACGGACCCAGCCCTCACTGTCGTCGTCGCCGGCGCTACTTTCCCCGCAGCCTGTGTCGCCTCGATGACCTTCAGTACGGCCACATGCCGCTCCTCAGTCTCCAGTGCTGCTTTGCCTTCAGCCCGGACGGCTAGCTGCTTGCGACTCCCGACGCCGCGCTTAGCCAGCGGAACGTCCATTAACCGATCACCGACCCGTGGGTCCAAGGTGAGGTCTTCCTCCACGGCCTGTGCGCGGGACCGCTTGGCGGCTGCACCTCCGGTGCAGGACCTCGTCCCTGCCGCCGCCGCTGACGTCTTCGCCTCTGCCTCCGCCGCTGCTGCTGTACCCTGAGCTGCCACGGGCGCACGCTCGGCACCGGGCAGCCCAGGGCTGACACAAGCCTCTACGCCGCCCCTGGCCCCGTCAGCGCCAGCGGCGGCCGTTGCACTGGGGGGCTGCAGCTCCCCGGGCTTCACTGGCGGCGGAGATGCACCTCTAAGGAACTTGGCTCGGCCTGCCGAACGCCTCTCCATTTCCGCGCTGCTGTGCGAGCACGGTGCGGCCTGGTCCTTCGCCGGGGACGCCGACACCAAACCCGGGCTGCGGGAGGCCTTCACGGCCGCCGATAGATCGCCTTTCAGCCCGTCCCTAAGCTCGCGCCCCAGGTCCTTCGCCGGCTTCTCCGCATCCCCGTCCTCCCCGCCACGCCCAGGGGCCTCAGTAGGCGGTCCGCGCTGCGCAGGGGACAGAGGCCGCTGCGGAGGCTCACTCTCTGCGGCGGAGGTCTTCCTGCGGCCGCCGCGCCCAGCACCCCTCTTACCACCAGGGCTTCCAGTCACAGCAGCCGGAACCGCAATAGCCGGGCTAATAGGAGCGGCCGCGTCCGCAGCTGGGGCCTCTTCGGGAGGATTGGGTTTTCGCCGCTTCCCCGGGCCCTTGGCCCCCTTCTGGCCTGCGTGCTTCTGCTCCGAATCAGGGCTCCGCGAAAGGGAGTCGCGCGCTGGCGCTGCCGGTGGCGCGGTATGGTGCCCCATGCCGCCGCCGCTCGCCTTTAAGGCCGTACATTTTCGTGTCCCACAAATGTGAGCAGAGGCCAGCTGGGGAACTCCCGATGCTGGCGCCGCCGCGGCCCGTGTCCGCCGCCGCGGGTGCTGCTGCTGTGGGGCACCAGATTCCTGCTGCTGCTGGTCTTGCTGACTCACCGAAAGTCCGTCGCGGTCCAGCTGCGACTGCTGCAGCTGCTCCTTTGTTTGCTTCTCCGCCTGCTGCTGTTGCTGTTGTTGTTGCTGCTGCTCCTCCGGTTGACGCCGCGGCACAGTGCCACGGAGCGCCGATTCCGCTGATGCCACCAGCAGCTGTCCCTCGCGCGGGTCGGTGGAACCTGCCGGGATGTCCCTGGAAATCCCATCCCCGCCAGGTGCCGCTGCGTCCCTTGTTCCTCCCACCGTAACGCCCGCAGCGGCAGCGGCAGGCGCCGCCGCCGCGCTCCCCTCCTCCCCTTCCATTTCAGACATGTTGCAACGCGGCACGGCATCGCCTTGACCTGCCGTAATTCCAATTCCAATGAAAGGAGCACCAACAAGGACGTGTGCTTCAGGATATCCGAAAAGTGATAAGACGCAGTAGAGTTGCATATCTGCCGGCCGAAAACAGGTATTTTACCTCAGCAGCCAACACCTGCTGCACACGTGGCTTCTGTAAGCCAAGCCCCTCACCACGCTGACTCTGTCCTGACACACTACATCCTCTGGCCCGTGGGAGGATCACCCAACAACAAACTTACCATGGCGCTGCTCCTCCTCGGATGTTTTAACATCGGCAGCGACAGAGGCGGTGCGCCCAGACCGCTGTCGATCCAGCAGCGTTGCAGTCAGTTCGGGGCCCCGCGGTCCGGTTGTCTCTAAAGCTGGCTCCCCAGCGGCGGTCGGGGGGACTGCGTCCCCACGCGGCCCCTGCAGCTCCGGTGACGGCTGCGGTGGCTGCGGCGGGGGCGACTGACTTAGAGGCGCTACGCTGGCAGGGGGCTGGTGCGGGAGGTCGTCATGCTGCTCGTCGCGCAGCTGCCGCGCCGCCATAGTCCGCCCTACCACCTCGCCAGAGGAGCTTCGCTCTGCGATTTGGTCGCAAGCGACAGGCACCGCAGCCGGATGTGCAACACTTGGCGGCGCCGTGGCTGGGCCGGCGGTGTCCTGCCGTCGCTGCCTGCTGCCCCCCGATCGCCGCTCAGCCTCCTGCAGCGACCCTTCCAGCCTGAGTCGCGATCTGCTGGGCAGCATCTGATTCAGCCACAGCGGCGCCCGCTTCCGTGCCTGTTGGAAGCGGTTTTCGCCGTGAACAACATCCGGCTGTCGTTGCTGTTGTTGTTGCTGCTGTTGTTGCTCTTGATGTTGCTCCTGCTGTTGCTGCTGCTGTTGCTGCTGGTGCTGCGGCGGCGGCTGTTTGGCACCAGGACTGAACGGTCTATGCTTGCTCTTCTGCTGTCCCGCCTGCCCCGTCCGCTCCCTTTCATCTCGCTGACGCTGAGCAGTACCCGTGCTGGCATGAGGTGCGACAACGTCGTCGGACAATGGAGCTGGCTCATCGCTATGCGCCAGATGGCGGCCGTATGCCTGCGGTGCGGGTTCCACGCCCGTGCCCGTTGGGACTGTAGCACGCCGGGTGTCGTTCCTGGCTTCAGAAATGCCCAGTCCTTGTTCGCACTTATCATATCCTGGCCAGATCGCATGAGCTGGGCGCGGGATTGATGGATTCTGAGTTGCAGGTGCGACCACGTCAAGGGACCCAGACCGGAAAGCACTGCTTGTCAGCTCAGGGTCAAGCCCGGAAACCAACCGAAGTAGATCATCGATCGGCATTTCTGACAGCGCACGTTCGTTGCGTGGAGTAACGCTTGCGGGCTGAACTAGTTCCCTAGTACAGGGACCGCGCAAAGAATTGCAACGCCTAGCCTTCTTGCACCGCATGATTAGTGGGACTTCCTCCATATCGCTAGCGCTGCTTTGATCGAGCACCGAAAAGCAGGAGCGACTCTCATCCGCCGTCGCTTTGGGGTTAATAGGCTCCAAGGCACCGGGCAGGTCCGGAAACAAGCCCGCTCCAAGGGCAGCCCGAACAGCATTCCGAATAGATTCGGGAATGCCAGAGTAAGGTGTAAACCTCAACGCGGGGACACCACGAACATGCGCAAAGGCTTGTGCTGCGAGCTCTTGAAGTTCTCCCTGCGTTCATCCCCAAAATTCAAAGAATTGAATCTCACACCACAAGATGTGTTCAGCTGAACAGACTCGTCGAGGCAAACAATTGTACTCACGTCCAAACGTGACAACTCTTCAGCCTGTGCTATTGCAAATTGTGTCAGCTGCACTGCCATTCTATTGTACGTCTTTTCGTTAAGAGTCACATGAGATACCGGTGAGGCCGGGAGTATGGTCAAAAGTAATCATGGTCCACACAGTGGTCTGCCTCGCCCCTTGGGCTCGATCTGATGGGATATTCCTCGTAGATACGAAGTTTATTAATTGTAACTCAGCCGCAAGAAGCTTTGCAAGCTGGGGAAGGCATGAACGTAGTGATGTACGGTTTTTAGATGCCAACCGTCGCCAAAGCCCTAACAAGGTAACCAGCATGAGCATGATGTTGCGACCTGACAAAAGCAGGTAAAGCTGCTTGCTATGCTATGAATTCTGCACATTCTCGTCGTCATCCTGGAAGAGGCCCGTCTGATGGTTGCTTAACAGCTGCATCATCGACATTACCCCGCTCTAGCTGAATCACTGCAGCTACGTGGACCCAGGCATGGCACCCGTACTGGACCGAGGTGCTGCGCAGGTCATCTACGGCCCCTGGTGCCCGCACTCCACGACGCCGTGTGGTGTCATTGCACATCGAATTGCTGAGCCACAACCCGAAGAACCAGAGCTCTAAGCTCCAGTTCGGTTTCCTGGAATTCTATGAATTCAATCGTACATGCAAACCGGAGACCACGCGACTATTTGGGTCGGGGTGTGATGTTACTGTGTTGCCAAGAAATTCCAGCCCACAAGTTCACAGCTTCCATGTGTTAAATTGCGGTGAATACCCAACGCCCACAGGCACGTCGTTCAAACAGGCACCTCGGTCCACACGTATTGCACTGCCTCGTCGCATCAGAGAGAGCGCCTACAACCAGCCTACAACCATCCACCTGAGCGTACTTGCATACCCCGATACTAAAGTGAACTCAGCACCTTTCACAACCAGCAGTATGGCGCTGCAGACATCCGAAGTTCGTCTCACAGGGTCCCACGCGAGACGTACCCCAGAACAGGACAGATCCCAGCTCCAGAAACGGAGTCCGCGGAGTCCCGGCGGCAGCCTGCAGCGCCTCATCGATTCCCGGCGTACGGCCTTCTTCACCATTGCCACCCAGTCTGCAGTTCATCCGCCCAGTCTGCAGTTCATCCACCCAGTCTGCAGTTCATCCACCCAGTCTGCAGTTCATCCACCCAGTCTGCAGTTCATCCAACAGGCCACGTAAAATCATCCCCTCGCTCTCATAAGGCCTCAAAGACAACCTCCTGTTTCAATCAGTGGTTGTCGCTAGGGATGTCAAGCAAGCATCCTGACCGCGAGCAGTTGACGCCCGGCTGCGTGTTCGAAGAGAGCTGAGCCGCGAAAAGGAAGTGATAATGCGTCCATAAGTCAATCCTATCCGCCTTCTCGCCCCTGGGCTTTGCCGTTTTGGGGCCGCGTCTTGCCAGCTAGTGCCAGCTGGCTAAACCAGGAGCCCAAACATACTCCAACGTCCTCTCCCTTTAAGATATCTCGTTCTGGACGTTCGTTCCTATGGAGCGCTTTCCCTTTGGGCATATGGGCTTAGGCGCTTGGGACCCGCAAAGACCCAGTCAGGTCTATCCTGCACACCCTTTCGCCCACTTCGCAAATCACAAGTTACAAGTTCCCCAGGCAAGTTCGGGAGTGTCCGTAAAAGCCGGGGGGCCCATGGACGTTATATTGGCATTGATGCGAGTACGCGGAAGGCCAATACGTGTGAAGGCAATGCAGGCAGCAGAGAGAGCAGCTCTCGGCAGCATTGGGCAGCAGCAGGACCAGAAATCAAAGCCCAAGGTTCAAAGGAGGCGCCGCGGGCAGCTGGAAACCACCTGCTCCCGCCTGCCCTGCCGCCGTCCCCTGACCAGCCAAGGGCCCTCCCAGGGCCCCCATCGCACTTAGAACTGGCTGCTGTCCCAGGGACTGCGGCTGCTGAAGTGACTGTGGCAGCTGGAATTGCTGCGCCTGAAACGGATTTGGATTTTGCTGCTGCTGTTGTTGTTGCTGCTGCTGCTGTCGGACTAGCGCTTGCTGTACCGCAGCTTGTATCTGCTGCTGCGTGAGTTGCATGGCCGCCAGTTGCGTAGGCGCCTGCGTCCCGGAAGAGCCCGGCATGACCATCATTAGCGGGCTGGGCTGCCCTGGCTGCTGCTGCGGCTGCTGCTGCTGCTGCGGTTGCTGTTGTTGCGGCAAGCCAGGGAGCGGGAGCGCCGCCGTAGCAACAGCTGTTCCAGGGAGAGCAGCAGCGGGCGGCCGGGCCGCCTGTGCCGCCATGCCGGGAGCTGCAGTCGCCTAAGGTAAAAACAAATGGGGTAACGAGACGTGCGAAGCATGCGTGCTAAAAAGACTCCGTGTGTGGGACACAGCAAGGGTACAGCGAACGCAGCAAAGACGTAAATTCACTTTTGGGTAAAATTGCTCGTAGCTCTGCCGGGATAATGTGGCCTTCAATAAGTCGTTTTCTGACCTGCTGCTGTTGTAAACCTCCTTCAAGGAAGACCCCTGAACCCCGTAAACCTCCCCGTGCAACCCTTAACCTCCATGGCCCTTGCATAGCCCCCAGCATCTTGCGACTCGTTGCTTAAATATGCATTGGAACTCTGGACTACTCTAGCCCGGAGCGCTCCCCGCTTCCAGTTAATTAGCAGGCGGTGGCGGGGGACTGATTTTGCAGCCATGATGATCGTTGACTTGAGTGTAAACGTGGTGCACATGGACACGTAAGCCGCAATGTCGTACCTGGGCAGCAGCTCCCGTTGCAGACGCTGATGAGTAGGTGTCCGCCACAGCTGCTAGTAGCATAAGGTTTTCTTGAAGCTTCTGCTGGAACCTTCAAGGTCCAAGGGGGAGGATACAGTTACCTACTTTCCTCCCAACTGAGGGCGCGTACTGCTATTCAACAATCGAATGCTCCTATCCATGCCACTAAGGCACACGAGAGACCAAAGCACGCCTCCTTGCGGTCGGAGACAAATCACGGCCAGACTCAACTGGATGACGTCCTGCATTCGACCAAGGTTTTGCTGTTCGGCGAGTGCCTTGATAAACTTGAAGTTTTCTTCAAGCATCTGCAGGAACGCAGTCCGTGAGGCCTCTCACTTCTCTATACTTCGGGGCTACACCGTCAACCGCTTACTTCTTGGATTCGCTCCGTTGTCATTGGGGCTGGCTTGGCCTGACCTGACACTGCCGCCATGCCGTCAGAAGTCTCTTATATAGATCTACTATCACTTTCCCAATCTCGCTTGTGAACACCGGGCACTGTCAGAACTCTTCCGTCGCAGACCACATCAAAGCATCAATATGCTAACATCAAATTAAAAACGTCTTCAAACCAAAAGGGATGTGCGTAGTGGGCTATGCACAGAATAGCCCCACAAAACAGCTTCCCACAAAGCAGGTTTCGGTACAATCTACAGCCACAAAGTAGGTTCTTTTTGCATTGGCAAGGTTCATACAATTTTTGCAGCATCTGCAACAGTGAAGAACTCCAATTCAGTCCAAACCCTGCTCCGATATTTGGCGGTTAACGGTTTATGGAGCTGGTGAGTTACGAGTTCAACGGCAAAACGAGTATTCTTGGTTTCGGAACGGATTCATTTCTGTCTTGCACGGCCGACTCGTTACAGAGCCGCGGTTGGAAAACGCAAATTCGCCAAGTCCGAGAGTTGGATGGTCATATTTCTGCAAGCAAGTCGTCTTTGGGCCCTCTATTTCTCTTTTGGGGAGTTTCAATACGACCCAAGCGTTTGTCGATGTCTGGTTCAATGACATAAGCGTTCACAAATTTGAAATACGAGTTGCACCGCTCTTGCCCACCCTGAATTATGATGAACGCACGCAATGCATCCTTCGTTAGTCCGGACGCTAGTGCCGTGCGCTCTTGGATCCACGGCACTCACACTTCGCCGTGTTTGCGCCCCTGTCAGGTTCTAGCAACTGCAATCGCAGGGTCAATGCCAGGGCGCGCTAACGACGGCCTGACACCTTATAACTTTGGGCTGATGACGAATGCCTGTTGTGACGCTCTGGAGAAGCTAGGGCAAAACTTCTCACCTCGTCAGACACTGTCTCCCGTTTTCACCACTTGCACGGCTTTTCCTTCCGAGCTGCAGCCCCAAACAGCCGGTCGACCCTTGCCTGAGCCGCGACTCTGCAGAAACACCTGTTGTGGTGTGAGTATATAATGTAATGTTGTTGTAATGTTACAGAGTGGGAAGCTTCTGGGCCGCTTTATCACATTGTCAGTTCTAGATCATTTATCACCTTATAGCACCATCCACCACTACCACACTGTACTTCGCCATACGAACTGTAAGTCCAAGGCGGCGGATCCAGCCTTCGGGGACCCTTCCTCATCCATTCACCCGAACACCCGAAGAGACGGAGGGTTCGGCAATCGCCACCAATCCAGCGTGCGAATCTGGTCCATCAACTGTGACCTCAACTCCACATCTCAGCAGCTAGCCATAATCTCGCGCTCCCGACTAATTCGGGGGTCTCCCCAGGAATCGAACCCAGGACCTTAAACCGCTAATTGCAGTAGTGTCAACCCAGACCAGAGTGAGTATATACATCCTGAAGGCTGCCAAGGTTCGTACCACGCCAACTGCGCATCACAGCCATCGCCGCAACCGCGAACAATGCCCAACACACCAGTTGTAGCCGACACACCGCGTCCATTTGTAGCCCTTTTTGCGCCTCATTTATTGTGTCTCTCCAACCCACGCAACACCGCTGCAGCTGCAGGTCCCAGCTTTCCCACAACCACGAGCCGCAAGAGCCGCACGGTTCCCCCCTTCCGCCACCTAATGCTGCGCACGTTTTCCTCTGTTTTCTGCAAGTCGGCTCTCCCCCCCGCTGCTCAACTTCAGCTTGCTCGCGCAACTTGGAGCTTCCTGGCCCGCATTTTGCTGTCTTTGTTGAGCAGCACGCTCACCTCCAACTGCAGTGCTATCCGGAATATAACAGTATTGTACAACAAACAATCATAAAAAGGAAGGGACCATGGTTGCGTGCTTGTTGGGTCATATAAACCGCTAGAAACGAGTACCAGCCTAGTCGTCATCGCTGTCGCCGCTGTCATCCCCCGAGTCGATTTCCGGCAGGGACCCCTCGCTGTCCTCAGTCTCGTCACCAAAGACAGCAGCAGCAGGTGCAACCGGTGCCGTCGGCGCAGCCCTAGCGGTGGGCCCAGCTGCTGCCACCACTGCAGATGGTGGAGTTGGATTGGCTGCCGGTTCGATCTTCTTTGCCCCCTCAGCCGCCGCTGCCGCCTGCTCCGTAACGTCCAGCTCCATGGCATCCAATGCACTCGCGGCAGCTTTCACGTCCACCCCCTTTTGCCGCTTTTCGATCCCTTTAACTGAGGGCTCTGTAGCGGTGCCAGGCTCCGGCCATTTCCCCCTTTCGCGTTTAGCCTTGCCGTGTGCGCTTTTGCCCTTCACCGCTGCTGCCACCGTCGCAGCTTCTTTTGCGGCTATTTGCGGCCGTGTCGTGCTCGGCCCCACACTCGAAGTTTGGCAATCCTTGCCATTGCCACCGTCAGCTGGACAGACATCCATCGTATGGGCTTCGCCTGCAGTTGTTGCCGCCATGGTTTCATCCCCTGCCGCCGCTGCCGGCTGTGGCACTGCTAAGACCTGGTTCTCGTCAGTTGATTTCTGGCCCGCCACCGCTGCTGCACCATCAACCGCCGCCGCCGCTGCTGGCGGCAGCTGCGGCTGCACCGGGTCCAGCATGCTCCACAGCCTCGGCCGGGGTAAGTGAAGGCCTTGCGCCGAACCCGTGGAGCCCCCGGCGGCGGAACCGCTGACGCCGCCGGCACGCGCCGCGCCCGTGTACTTTGGGCTGCTCCGCGGCCGCAGCAGCCCCTCCAAGGCGAGTAGGCCCTCCGAGCAGACCTCCGCCAGCGCCACCCCTCCGGTGCCGCTGGCCCCTGCGGACAACAGATGCAAACCCTCGTTGAAAAATGGGTGGCGGGAGGTCCACGGCGCCGCCAGGCTGGCAATCAGGGTACGGGTGGCGGCGACACGCAGGGTCGCCACGTCAGCAGCACGTGCAGCAGCGCCGGTGCCTGGCTCCTTGGCGATGCGGTACGCCGCCTCTCCAAGCACGGCAACCATGTGGTACGACAGCGCGTCTAGGTGGCCGCGCAGATCGGTAGACAGCGCGGGACCGTACACCTGCAGCAGCGCCTCCGCCACCTCAAGTGCGGCGACCTGGGCTTCGACGTCTGACGGCGACGCCACCGGCGCTACCGCAGCCGCCGCCGCAGCCGCCGCCGCCGCGTCGAAACCCGCCAGAGGATCGCCTGCTGTCTTGGCCTTTTTGGCCGCTGCCACTGATACGCCCGCCGCCGCCGCAGCAGCCGCCGCCGGGGCCCGACCGCCGATGCTGGCAGTGGCGGTGCCGCCGGTTCCTGCAGACCCCTTGGACTGCTCTTGCTGTTGCATGGCGCTCAGGCCGTACAGCTCTGTGACGAGCATACCAACCACGTCCGCCCCCAGGTACCGACCCGCAGCGAAGCCGCCGATGCGCAGTACAACTGTTGTAGTGCGGTACAAGCTAGTCCGTACAGGGGCAGACATGGTGACGGCCAGGCCTCCCGCGCCGCCCGCCTTAATCCTGCAGCAGTGAATTGAACGAGATATAGGTCGCAAAAAAAAGCATTATACACACCGAGCCATTGAAGCACCCTCCCACTGGCAGTGTACGTTTACCCATAAGACGAGAAACAGCCGCAGGCTGGTATGGCCGCGGTGGTAGACGCGAGGCGTTCAGATGGCTGCCGAAATTCAATGCGGCACAGGATAGGCCTCACCGCAGACACAGTTGTCCATCCATCCATCCATCCATCCACCCAAGCCACCCGATCTCTATCAGCCACTCACCCACCCCTCCGGCCACCTAGTCAACGACCCCCACCCCCCAGGACAGCCCACCTCACCTCCGCAGGTGCTCTGCCAGCAGTCTGCACACCAGCGCCGTCAGCGGCATCAGCGTGGACTTCACCACCCGGGCAGTCAGGCTCAGCAGCTCCCAGCCGCTCACGTGCAGGTCGGGGAGCAGGGCCAGCACTGTGGACTGGGCGGAAGCGGAGGGAGCCGCACGACCGGGCGCCAGCAGCACTGCGCGGACCAGGTCGTGTCGTGTCGTGTTGTGTCAGGTCAGGTCATGTGGAGGATTTCCCAAAAGGGGGGTAGGTGCACCTGGGTGTACAGTACACCCGGTGTACACGGGTGAGATACGCAGCGGGAGAGAAGGCACACCGCCCGTAAGGGGCCACCGCGGAATAACCCCTGTACCTGTAACCCTGTTATGGCAGCTCACTCACTCACTCACTAATCCACCCACCGCACAGCACCGCACAGCACGGCACCCACCCCATCCCATCTCACCCGCTGCATCCACTTTCAACATCCTCATGACCAGCAGTACTATGGCGTGTGTGGGTACGGGCACGGGGGAGGTGGATCCGCGGCCCACCAGGTGCACCAGGCACTGCAACAGAGCCACCGTCACCTGACGATAAGGTGAGGGAGGAGATGAGGGAGGAGGTGTGAGATGTGTAGTGGAGTGGTTACTTTGTGCTGCGGGATCTGCAGGCTAAAGGCTAGGGCAGGAAATACGGGCGTTAATCGACCCGTCTTGAAACACGGACCAAGGGGTTCAACTTGTATGCGAGTTGGCGGGTGGGAATAGATATATGGCAGTTGGTCCAACCGCGACTGAGGAAGGGAAAGAGGAAGTCTACCTGTATCGTCAGCGTCACGTCAGGCCGCGTCACCACCGCCGCCGCCGAGCCGCCACCGGCGCCACTCACAAAGCCCGCAGCCCCCAGCAGCCCCTCCGCATCCGCCACACCCTGGCCCACCGCCTCCAGCTGCTCCCTAGCGCGCTCGCCTAGGCCCCCGTCCGGCGCTGCAACGCCGCTGCCGCCGCCCCCGCCGAGGGCGCTCAGACCACCGCCGTGGTACAACAGCAGATCCAGGGCGGTGTGCAGCGACAGCAGCACCTTGCGAATGAGGGTGCTCCAAGCGGCCGCGTCGTCAGCAGCCGCTCGCGGCAGCAGCGCCAATGCCTCCGCAGCGCCGCAACGAGCGACAGGTGTCGCAGTGGGCGCGGCCATGAGGCTCGTAAGGCTGCGCTCCAGGGAAGCTGTATGGTTGCGCGCCACGGTGGGCAGCGCCTGCAGTACGGAGTGTACGGCTGCCAGCGCTGACATTTGACAATCTGTGGGGGTGTGGAATGTGGTCCAGATGGGGCATTGCGAAGGGGGGAGAGAAAAAGCATCCGGTTGGGAAGAAAATCGCAGTATCGGACACTGTGGCAGGAGTTAGGGGAGGTGAAGAGGAGGCAGAGAAGCTGCATCATGCAGAGGATGGAAGCCTCCTAAACCCCTCCAGCCTCACCCTTCCCCACCCCGATGGTTGCCGGGCGCCGTGTCCTTATCTTCTCCACCTTCCCTCCATATTCCACCCCTCCTCCATCATCTCTTTTATATGAATTCCTGCCCTTCCTCATCCGTCATCCCTTCGGCTTACTGTTTGGCTAGCTCCCAACCTTCTCCCTGCCTTATATCTAAGGGATGATCGCCACTAGGGAATGCGATGTGACCCCCCCCCACCGTTGTCTGTGAGCAGCGGTGTGGCCACCTGGAGGGTGCGGCCCCCGATGCCGGATGCATCCCGCCGCACGCCGGGGACATCCAGCAGCTGACGAACCCTACGGCGCTTGTAGAGACACACACACACAGATACACACACAGACATACGCGCAGACACAAACAAACATGCAATCGTTAGGGTTGCACCTCTGTGTAACGCGGCCAAGGTGTAACACACAGATACACACACACGCACACACAATCGTACACACAATCGTACACAAATGCTGCTCGTGCATGGGGAAGGAGATTATGATAGGCGTCAAGGCAGACGGCAGCATTCGATTACGAACGTGTGCACATTGGCGTAAGTCGGCGACATGCGCACGTGTGTGTGTGTGGGTAGGGGTTGCAGCTTCTGTCGACTATGCGGAATTTGCCGGGACGGAAGAGCCCTGTCGCAACACACCAGCAGACACAGGTGCATATTACGGCTTGAATTCCGCTACACATTCCGCTACATACCCCTCATTTTCCTTCCCGCTATTTCCCCGTCCTTCCTCCCCCCCTCGTCTTCCTACCTGGCGAATAGGTCCCCTAACCCCCTCAGGGCCCCCGCCCGAGAGGCCGCTCCCGAATCACGACGGACCACCTCCAGCAGGGCAGTGGACCACTCCCCGTACGAGGACAGAAAGGCCCGGGCGGGTACGTAGAAGCACACAAGGCCAAGCAGCACGGCGGCACCGGGACGGAAGGCCGCCTGGCGGTGCCAGGGGAAGAGCAGGATTGCGCAGGGGTGCGACGCGGTGCGATGCGGCAACAAAGGTGTTTGTGTGGATTCGGATGGTGGTGTGGGTGTTGGTGGCGTCAGCGATGCTGCCCGTGGGGCAGCTGAGTTAGTGAGGTTGCTTTGCGAGAGGAAAGGGGTTGTGGACGGACATGGGAACGTAGATATCTATGGATTTGGGTTGGATCTTATCGTGAGTACGGGTGCTACGTACGGGCGCTTGGGATGCGGGTGGTGGGACAGGGCCTGGGTGTTGTAGCAAGTGATGCAGGGGCAGTGTTCGTAAGACCAAAGCGAGGTCTCGCCACGGGGGGGCATTTTGTTACTGCCTCGTTATGTTCAAGAGAGGAGAGTCCGAGCGGTGCATTGCTGGAAGCTGTGCCATGGTCTGCAGCAGGGGGCGACGTACCTCGCCTTTGGTGAGGTGCTTCAGCAGCTGCTCCACGAACTTCCCTTGTAGTTCTGTCACGGGCGCCCAGATACCGCCTTGTGTCCCATCAGGGCCTGCTGTCAAGAGGCCATTATCGACGAGCTGCCGCGCGATGGCGGCGGTTTGCGACGGGCCAAGAGGTTTGTCAAGTGATAAGATTATGCTCCGTAATAAAGCACTTCGTGTCAACACAGCCGTCTCCATCGTGTTATGGCGAAGCCCCCAAAGTACTCAAAAACGAATGTAAATATCTGCCGTTCTGCCCGCAGCTAGCATGTGGCCTGAAAACACCTAAGGATGGATGTCGTTATCGTTTCACAATAGTTCACAGCGACAATTCCAAAGGGATGCATGCTCCGTGGTCGTGTGTCGTATCCGGCATTTCATGCACTTCACACCAGTCCATGGAACATACTTTCCATTCTTGCCAGCAGGAGTACTACTTGTCATAAACATTATTTTACCCAAGGATAAGCCATAGGCAATTTTCAGTCCTGCGTTCTTTCGCAAGGGGGGTAGCTCTAGCACATGTATCATGCGAGGGGTATTGTGTTGTTGCCGCGACTGTTACCAAAGTACTCGTGAGACGACCTCCTCACCTTTTACGCATACCGCCAGGGTTGTTGAGTTACGCTGCAAGATATTTCCACCTAAACCAGGAGATGCGGAAGGATTCTCAGAATTTTGTTTTGCCTGATTTAGATGACGTTGATGATGATGATGATGATGATGATACAGTACCTGTGCACCGTCCGCTGCGGCGCCTTAAACGAAACGCGAGTTCCGAGCAATCCAACTTGCCCAACTGCGTTTCTTCTCCTTCCCGGCATAACTCGGGAGAGCATCAATTGATGCTGCCGCTTGAGCTCAAGTCAGATCTCTTGGCGGAGGAAAGCCATCCAGTCCAGGTTGGCTGCACCCCAGCTCAAACCAGCCCCTTCATCTCCGCGCCTTCTTCTGGCGTCAACGCGTTGGCCACCGGTCCACTCATACAGGGCGCAAACCTTACCAACACAGAACCCCATCAGCCACAGAATTCCCTACCGCTTTTAGATTTCACACCCTTGCCGGTATCAACCGACGTGGTCGCAACCGAATTCCTGTACAGCAACGCAAACGGTGATGGCGACTTGCTCGTGCCCCGAAGGAAGCGGCAGCGGTTGGGAGACCCCGACAAATCTCAAGACTTTAGTAAAAGCAAAGGTATTGCAGGGCGGGCACCGGCCCCCTTGGTTAAGGTAGAGCACTGTGGCGCGGTGGTGTATGAGGACGCTGCCGCCGAGCTCACCGACGCCAGGACGGAGCGGGCCATTAGCGAGGCGCAGCCGGATCTGGGAGCACGTGCCGCCCAGCCACTGTCGGCAGATCCGCAACGCAATGGTTCACCGTGCGCTTCTGTGCAAGCAGGAGCGCTTGCACACCTGAGCGCGGTAATGGCTGTAGCAAATGCAGCAACGGAGCTAACAGCTGTAGCGGGACCCGCGGTAGTAGACGCCGAGGCGACGAAGGCCGTCTCGACAGCCGCTGTCGCCGCTACAGCTGCCACCGCCGCCGCCGACGACGACGACAATGTGGGCGACGTCAAGATGGCGGATGTACGACCACACGACGTGGACACGTCGTCATACGGCATGGGTGATCAGGACCAGGGCCCGATCCCGACACCAGGACTCGGTGAGATCACGCGGGCGAGACCATCAGCTGGGGCAGACCACCAGCTAGCTGCCTCAAGCAGTGATGGCGGCGGCGGCGACGATGGACGGTACGTATCCCGGGCGAGGCGTGAAAAGGCCGTCGCAGCTGCGCGGGTGTGGACTGATGACGATGATAGCGACAAAGGTGACGCCGTTGGCGGCGGTAGCGCCAGGACGGCGGATGATATTGCCGCAAAGAAGCGACAGCCGTCTAGCCGCGACCAGAAGGCAGCCGTAGCCGCGGCGACAGGCGAATCCTCAGGCGGCCGCAGCCTCAGCAGTGGCACAAGCCATGGCCGCAAGGCACCGCATAAAAAGCAACATGAGGAAAGCGAGGATAGGGAGGAGAACCAGCAGCAGGAAGACGCACCAACTACGAGGCGCAGCGCTCGGCAGCAGGCTGCGAGGCGACAGCAGACACTCGAGCAGTGGGTGTTCGGGGAACGAGGCACGGGACGCCGAGGAAGCCGGGTGGAGGACGCGGACTTTGACTATCGAGGCAAGGGAGAAGAAAAGGAGGAGGAAGGGGAGGAGGAGGACAAAGAGCCAAAGCACGCTCGCGGTCGAGGGGTAGGGAAGCCCTCACCGGATAGAAAGGCTAGGAAGACAGGCAAGCGCGGGGAATGCAGGAAGAAGGGCAGCAAGGAGAGCAGCAGCGGCGCTGCCAGCGACAAAGGGGAGGAGGAAGACTCGGATGACGGCGGTGACGGTACGCTGCAGGTAGAGAAGCGGCGCTGCGACCGGACAGACGCTGTCAGTCGCCGCTCCAGTGGCGGCAAGCTTGCGGCCGCGTCCGCCGCGGGCGCCGCAGCAATTCCAGAGATTCCGGCGGCGGCGTCCAAGCGGCTCCGTGGCCCTCTGTCGCCGTTATCGCAGGCTGAGACGAAGCGACGGCGAAGGCAGCAAGAATCGCCAGGACCCAACATTGATGCAGTAGTAGCAGCCGTAGCAGCACCAGCACCACCAGCTGTTGCAGCGGGCAAACAGCGGCGTACCAGGCGGCGGCAGCTCGGGTCTGATAGCGACGGCGAGGATGAGCCGGTCCCTGGCACCGCGGTAGCAGCAGCAGGAGGCGCTGGTAGGAGCGACGAAGAGGAGGGCCAGGACGGCACTCGCAATCACGGTGATGGTGGTGGTGGTGGTGGTGGTGGTCGCAGACGCAGCGGTCGCCTCTGCCGGGCCTCACAGCCGACGGCATCAGCGGCGGCGGCAGCGACGCCGCCAACAATGTCAGGCGCGGCTGCTGAGTTTGAAAATGCTGAGGCGCTATTAGACGAGCTGGAGGACGAGGGCATGGATGACATCGTTCTTGAGCCGAACCCCTCCAAGACTCGATCGGCTAGGGTGAAGGCGGCGGCGGCGGCGGCTATCGGGGGCTGGCAGGGACGGCGCCTGCGGGCGGTGAAGGAGCGGAAGGTGCTGACGGCGGCCGAGCTACGGGAGAAGGCTCGGAGAAAGCTAGAGGGCGCGCTTGAACGAGGTGAATTTGATAGCACAGGGCAGGCTAGGTAGCCCACAAGAAAGACCCAAGGGGCGGGGCCAGGGCGGTGGTAGGAGGGTAAATATTCTGAGTGCTACACGGGCTCAGCTGGTACGTATGGTAGCCGCGCTGGTCTGCATGTGGCGGAGCCAGAGCTGCGGGGCTTGATGTCTGCCTGCGACACCTTAAATTATGCAACCTCATTTTGATGGTAATGATGCGAAAGTTTTTACTTTTGAACGCCCTGTCGGCATCTCCAAATCACCAGCTGACGTAGGAGTCCACACCTGAAGATACATACAGCTGGGAAGGGAAGGGAAGGGGGCGGGCCGGGAACGCAAGTGGCCCCCGCCGGCCACTTACGGCCTGCGGGGTGAGGACTGTGGTATAGGGGCGATATGAGGAGGCCCCATACAGAGCTAGCGGGACAGAGGAGTAAAAGGGCATGAAGGTGGTCCCTGCGCCCCGCTGGCGCAACCCCCTTGCTCTGCGCGGCGTCAGGTAGCGCCCATCACCTCATCTGCTATCCCTGGCTTCCACCCACCCACCCACCCACCGATATATAGTCTACTTTTTATTGCATTTAGGCTCCCGCCACCTGTCCGCCGTGTCCGCCACTTTTGCTTTCGCATTCGCTTACCGCGTGAGCCCTCTGTCGAGGACGCTAGCGCCCCCTGCCTGAGTAGTACCGGCGGTACCGTCTTTTCCACCATGTGTAACGCAACGGTCCTTAGGAGGCGACGTTGCCGACAATGACGAGGAGGACGATGACGAGGAGGAGGAAGAGGAGGAGGACAGCGTCGGCAGGGACGTCGGCAATGGCCGTCAGCAGCGGAGGCGACGGCTGTTGCAGCACCCGGGTCTTGATGAGGACGTCGATGCGGAGATAGCCGCGCACGCGATGTCGATGTGCGCTTCCGATGAAGAGGAAGAAGAAGAAGCGGAAGCCGCAGCGGAACGAGCCCTGGAGGATGACATCGAGCCCAGAGGCGGCGCGGGTGGGAAGCGGCACGGGTCGATGGCAGCAGCTGCGGCAGCTGCAGCCATGGCTGGACAGGGCGAAGAGGACGATGATGTTGATAGTTTCATTAACGACGGTGCGGTGGAGGAAGGAGAGGCGAGTAGCGACGTGGAGCAGTTGGAGGAGGAGGAGCCGAAGACGCCGCAGAAGGATCGCCGCAGTCGCCGCGGCGATGGCGCAGGGGCGGCTGCGGGTGGTAGTCCCGGAGGATTGCGCTCGCCGCCGGTGGCGGGGCGTGTGGGCTCGAGCAACTTTGAGAACTTCAAGTCCTGGGTGGTGAGCGCAATCCTTGGGCTTGGGCTTGGGAATAGGGCCGAGGCAGAAGCGCGGCGGCTGTTGGGTTATGGGGCTCACTGCATGACAAAGAGAAAAAAGGTTGTACCCGTAATTCCTAGTTGCCTCTGTTTTGATTGTCACGTTCACGAGTGCAATCCATTCATCCTTCCGTCCTTCCCTCCCGTTCTTTACTCTTTCCTTCCCGCGTCCGTCCAAGAATGAGATTGCGTTGTATTCTTTCTCTCTGACGATACCCCTCTTTTTGTAATTTTTGTAATTCTTGTTTTCCTCGCAGACGCCCATGCTGTGCGAGCTGTTGCGGCTCCGAATGGCGGGTGAGGACGAGGACGAGACGCTTCAGGCGGAGATGGACCAGGCGGCTCGGTGCAGGTGGGCGTTAGTCAAGGGGTGTTAGTGGAAGGAAGGATGGCAGGTAGATGGGGGCCTGAATGTTCCTCTGTGTGGCACGGTCCCCGGCAACTGCCTTTGGCCGCTGGCTGCTCTTCACTTGCTAGAAGCAGTAGCATTGGTGCGAGGAGGTGCGAGGATGGGTGGGAGGGTGAGAGGAGGCGCGCATTCATTCACTGAAAAGCAGAGTGACAGGAAGTCACGGCACAGAACGTGCATGAGCGGCACCACCTTTAGACACCTGTGCTTCTCCTGCGGAATGTTGTGCGTGTGTGTTTCTGCGTGTGCGTGTGTGTGCTTTTTATGGGGGGGGGAAAAGAGGAGAGGGTGTCCAGTTGTTGCCCATGCACGGTTTTCACGTCTTGTCTTGAACTGGCTTGTGCCCTGCTATTCCTCCGGTATGGCAACGCTGGCTGCCATGTCCTTCCTTCCGTACTTCTGTCGCACCCAAGACCTTATCTAACCTTCCATCCATTTCACCCATCCATGCATCCATCCACCCAACCGCAGGCGATTTGAAGGAGATCTCAAGACAGCCAGGTGGGCAAGCGGGGCGATTTCCTGCTCGGTGGTTCCGGAGCGCTTCTGGTTCGGTACTTGATTGAGCTCACCCTCGGTCGTGTCCGCAGGGAGAATACGAAGTCGTACTCGTGGGTCCACGCCGTTACCAAGCTCGGACTGGAAAGGTACGAAAACTGTCGTACTGCAGCTCGGGTGGGCAAGCCGCTCGGACGGCTCGGATACGAAACTGTACAAGCCAGTGGTTCTTTGGGAAAGCGGGAAGCGGGAAGCGGGCTCGCAGCCGGGCCCCAGGCAGCAGATCTTTCCCGCTTTGTTCGGCGGTCTGGAGTTGTGAGTCATATACCTCTGGAATTCTGTCATGATGTATCCGGTTTGCCTCGAAGATAGCGTGCGGGTTGGCGTTTTTTGTAGCTGCGGCGAAAGACATGATATATAATGAGCGTTGCAATTGCAACGCAGTGCAACTGACGTGTCCTCTTCTGTGCTTTAAAAAAGTGATCCGAGTCGTGCGCAGGACCTGGCAAAAGGGGATGGCAGAGGAGGATTCCCTATGCTGCTGACCCAGACATAGAATGTTGTGCTGCAGGATGAGCGTCCTCTGATATGTGTGTGCATCACCGTCGTCCGATATGCGCGCTTTGGTACTGCTGCTGTACTCTATAAGAAATAATTGCCTTAGCCCGCCGCAGCCCGCTGCTGTGGGCCCTTCCTAAAGGCCCTTCTTTCCCTGATCACCATTGTGCCCAACATGATGTTACCGCCATACATCGTACATATGCTTCTGCCGTTCCGTAACGTACAGTCCTACGTGCCGTGTCGTGCAGGGCGTTGTTGCGGTATCCGACGCTTCTGATCGATGGCATGACGACCGCGCAATTCTACGGCCCCTCCGGCGCGGGGGCAGTCCAGGCGGCTATCGCCCGGGAGGTGGGGATGGAGATGGACCCCGGGTGAGGAGCACCCTGTTGGCGGAAAGCCGTACCCGTGCCACACCATGCGGCGGCGCCACAGCCTAATCGGTCCTGACGGTGTCGTGCTTTAATGGTCTGAGAGCCGCGGCCGGGCAGGAACTGGCGAGGATGGTACACGAATAAAACGTTTTTAAGCGTTTTGCGTTGTGTTGGGCGCGTAGGCCTTTCTCTCTCTCTCTCCATCCCTCGTGGAAGTCTCTCAACCTGTTGTTCTTTACGGATACTTCCTTGTGGCGTCATAGGAACCCTTTCTGCGGTCCTCCGTTGCATCCTCCGGTTTATGGGTTCATGCAGTCCGGTGCGCCATGGCGGGATGGTGCATTGATATGGTGGGGATGGCACAAACTGACAAACGGCACCAGTACCTTTTGCCCCTGCACGCGCAGGACCCTATCGCTTGGCAGCTTGGAGGACAGGGCGGTGGGTTGCGACATCTGCCACTCATACAGGTGACGAGGGAGCTCGATAGTATTAGGCGGAGGGAATAAAGCTTGGCAGCAGGGTTGCGAAGAATGGGTTTTCGACTGACACACCGGTCAAACAATCATGTGCCAAATTCCAACACTCTGTAAAGGCGGTCATGGCCTCGAAGGCTGGAGCTAATCGAGTGAGCATCTGGGCAAGCTTTGCTTCATGCGAGAGACCAAAGGATGCTTAAAGGGATTTATCCCGGCAAGAGGTCAATGATCGGGGGATGCCCAGGAGGTGTAGAATGTGTAACTGGCGACGAGATTTGAGCACCGTGCAAAGCAAACCCTCCAAAAGGCCCCGACCCCAAAACGAAGGTCTTGGAGGGCTGCTGGGAGGGCCGAGACTGCATCACTCCTTGCGTTGCCTGGCCGAGCTGGGTGCTATCCTCCTGTTGTGTTGTTGTTGTTGTTGTTGTTGTCTCCCTTATCACACAACTTGAACAGCCAAACAACTGATGACCTGTTGTCCACTGACCAAACGGATTTGGTTGCATCACAGGACTCACCGCCTTCACACGCTCACCCTAGGAGGCGACGCAGTGGATGAACACGACGGGGGGTCGCGTGGAGCGGCGAGTGAAAAGGAAGAGGACAAGGAGGAGACACGGGAGTTCGTGGCGGGTGGCATGTGTTGCGAACGAGTGGTGCTGTTCCACGTGATCTGCCACTTCAAGCGTTTTATGTTGGCATCGTTCAAGAGGAAACTCAAGACGATTCTGAGGAGGAAGAGGCGGTAAGAGCATCACGGGCCCCCCGGGGGGGGAAGGAAACGACGTCTACGTGTTGTGATCCTATGACCACATGATGGATGCTTGACCACGTGGACAGAGGGCAAATGTCAGATGTTAGATATGGGGATGCTGGTGCCTCAGACCGGCGAAGGCCGAGGCAAAGGTGGAAGGGGGAAGGTGGAAGGTGGAAGGGAAACGCGGAGAAGCCGTGCAAGGAAGTGCAAGCTGGTGACCGCAAAATTGCTCCTAACTAATTTTCAAGAGAACCTGGGGAAGTGCTGTTACGCCTGTTTTTTAGGAAGGCAGTGAGGACAGACATTGGCTGGAGGGAGATGTCTTGGATATGGTACGGTCTGTGAGTACGACGCTGCCGTACGGCCCATTTGCATCCGGCAGGGTGCCTGCCGCTGGCGGCACTCTGTCCGTGGACACCCGCCGAGAGGTGCTCTTCGAGCTGCTGGACGACAAGCGGGACCCTTACCTGTACGATGTGTACAAGAAGTACAGGGAGATCATCGCCGCGGCTGAGAAGTTGTACATGACACAGAACATGAAGGAGCGTTTCTTGCCAGGAAGATTGGTGCGTGCCTGTGGGGGCCTTGTGCCGTGATGCATGAATGCGGGCGGACGTGCTAGCGGTATCAAGAGCTATGTCACCGGTTTTGTGCCACCGCAGGGACTGTTGTTCAGTTCTCGGTTCGGCTCGCCATTCCGCCATTTTGGAACCATCTCGGTGTCTGTATGTTTTACATGCTCGTACATTGCGTGTCCTCATTGCTCGTCCACATTGCTTGTCTTTGCCGTGAAGAGAGGAAACCCGGGGGATGGGGCCTTCAGGTATCGGAGGTGATGTACGAGCTCCACAACTCCGTCGATGGCTACGAGTCTGACATACCCGGCATGCCTCCAGAGGCGGAAGAAGGGGAAGATGAGGAGCGAGGCGAGGATAGCGACGATAGTTGTGCGGGCGACGTGGGTGGGGATGAGGGCGACGGCAACCCTGTGATGGAGGACGACGACAGTGGCAGCGCCGGCGGTGGTGATGATGATGACGGGGATAGTGATGATGGCGGCCGCAAGCAACGTGGCAATCGCGGCAGCAGGAGGTCGACAGCAGCACGGAGGCGGCGCCTTGTGGTGGACGGCGATTGTGAGGACGATGGCGACGACGGCAAAGATGCAGGCGGCGGTAACCGTGCGAGCGGCGCCATTGTGCTTGGAGTCAGCGACATGCGGGAAGCCACCCGACGCATGCGGGCTGACGCCGCCGCAGCGGCAGCGGCAGCGGCTGCTGCTGCAGCAGCTGCTGCCAAGAAGGCGGCAGTAGCTGCTGAGCGTGCGGCTGCTGATGCGGCGGTCGCGGCGGCGGCGGCCATTGCTGCCGCCAATGCTGACCAAGACCCGCCGCTTTCATCGCCAACAACTGCGCCACCACGGTCACAGATCGGCAGCGGCGGCAGCCGCCAAATGAGGATCACGGAACTTCTGTCCCCGCGGGGCGGCCACCAGCGACAGTAGCGAACGCCAGATGGGTTGCGAGGGGGCCACCGGACCGGTACGCCGGGGACGGCCAGGGGCTCTGCGGGTCCCATTGAGGTGGTGAACTTGTTGAACAGCAGCAGTAGCGACGAGGCCGAGCCAGGGGCCGTGACGGACGCGGCGGAAGCGGTTCAACAGGATACCGGTGGCACAGCGCCAGTTACTAACTTTACAGGGACAGGGTTTATGTGTGGCGCTGTTGGAGAGAGACATGTAGCACCTGTGCCACCGTTGGCAACGCTGGCGGCGGCAGAGAGCCCCGCTTTAGCGCTGGCGCAGCAGGTGTCTGCGACTGCGGCAGCGGGGACGACGTCCGTGGTGGCTCCCTCTCTGGACCCCACTCAGTCGCCATTGCTCAAGCCATCTCATGCAGCTGTGCCTGAAGGGATTTAGGCCCCGCTGGCGGTGGCGGCGGCAGCAGCTTGGCGCAGAGGCTAAACCTGACTTCGTCAGCGGTCGTGGCCCGCTTGGCTGACCCGCACCGCGCTTCGCAGCAGCAGCAACCAACACAGCTGCATAGTCTTGCTGTATCTTCTCATCGTGTTGCTTCTCCACCGCCTGTAGCTCCTCGAGTTCATCATCATCAGCATGGCCATGTGGGGCAGCAGGACCAGGCGCCTGTCCAGGAGGTTACTTGCCCCTTGGGTGCGGCCCGACGGGGAGTGGCTTTTCTGTACAGAGCGAGGCCACTGGTACCCGGGTGGCTCAAGCTGCCGCTGCATTGTGAAGCAAGGGCTGCCAAACGGGTGAGCTGGCTGCTCCGTTACTCTCCGTTTGGGAGTCCGTTGAGGTGTCCTCCGCCCTCCTACATACTTGGAGGGCTTTGTGGCAGCTGAAACTCCTACCCTAGTTATGCGGGTGAAAGGCTCCATGCGGCTTTTCGCCTTTCTAATTTAAACTGCAGAAGGCCTTGGTTTTGGCTGTACGATCTGTTGGAGCCACAGGCCTTGTCAAATGTATGTATTTTGTTTTCGATGCATTTCGGAGGGTCGGCATTCTTGGTAATGTCGGTTTTGTTTAGCACGTTCATTGCCGCGTTTGCTCGAGACCAAATGTGCGATTGTAGGGCTGCCATGTTCATCTGTTGGTGTTCGGTTGGCCGTGCAACTGTCGTATGTCGGTGTGCTGTATTAATGATATGGTTTGTTTCGTGACCGGCGGCGGGCTAAGCTACTGTACGGGTGCATGGGCCGCCCCCGGCGGGTTGTGTTAGGGCTGTCGGATTGGGTTTCCCTGAGTTGGTATGCCTTCGCTGTGCGGTCAAGTGGAGCTCAGGCATGGTGGTGATGTGCCTCTCGCATATGGAGATACATGGCAAGGTCATGGCGGCTGATTGTCACAACTATGCGGTCCACCGGTGACGAGATATGGTCAGATTGGGGCAGATATTATGGTGGTCAGACTAGGCAATTATGTAAGGGGAGAGTGGAGATTAGGTAGGAAAACCGGACCCGGGAAGGCAAAGCGGGGGCCTTCGGTCAGCTTTGCACGACTCCAGGCAGCACCGCGGCGTGCAGGATGTGAGGGAGATGGTTGCGTTCGTGTTCTCTGCGATCACCGCGGTCCCGCCGTGTACTCGCGGAAAACGGACGCCAATGCGGCTCGCTGCATGTCATACCTACCTTTCGACACCGCTGTGTGTCCATCTCATATGATAACTGATGATCTTTGCCCCTGCAAGCATATCGATAGCTATACATAATGTTCTGCACAAACGACGCCGTTGCACATGCGCGTTCCAAACCATATCCCTACCTCGTTGTGCAGTGCACTTCATTTGCTATGCCGCGGCAGGCAACCCTTGCCACAGCAGCTTCCCTGGCTTCATACCGCGCCGCGCGGCTGTTACATCCTACCAACCAGTCCCCGCGTGTTCAACGAACCAACTGAGCAGAAAGTGCTGACGTCACATTCGCAAGTTTACCGAAGCAAATACTTCTGCGCCGAAGTGGTAGGAAATGCTTTTTTGAAGATATCGACAGGGAGAATGACGCCAGAGCTGGAAGATTAGCCGTCAACGAGTTTCCGCTCCTCATACTCGTTTCTTCATTCCGGCCCCGCACGACGTGTGAAGGGCCAGTACCCAAAAAACCTCTTCCTGCCTTTTGCTGATGGCCTAGGTACTGAGCACAATATTGCGGCTCCCAATGAGGAGTACCCGCCAGCGATATCCCCTGGCCCACCTGTGCTACCCTAAGTAGTTCCATATGTGCAAGGAAATCCACAACACCCTTGCATATGGCCCCAGCTAAATCTTGTAGGGGTACATGACCATGGGCCCAGCCACTTGCATGGCCTTCTCCTCCCCGAAGAGCTGCTTAACCAGCGACAGCGCGAACTCAAAGGCAGTCCCTGGGCCGCGGCTGGTGGTGAGGTTGCCGTCCACCACGACCCTGTCCAACACCTTGCTGCGAAGGCGCAACGCAGGGCGAAATACACAGCATTTAGTTTTGAATATAGGACCCTGTAGCGAGACGACCCTGGCGTGCGGCTTTTGACAGGGAGGGGCACGATATCGAAGCAGGGCGGACTGTCCGAGCATTGTGAAGCAGAAGTGGCCCAGGCTGCAGCCTAAAAGCCCCCAGCGGCGCCTACATTACTTGCTGCTTCAGCTGCCCGATGCGCGAGAAGGCATTGCCTTATTAGGAAACGAGATAGCTGAGCTGCCGCATAACCTCAAGCAGTACACATGCACTTGTTCACGCAATCACACAGCTGGATGTTAAAGCAGCAGGCGACCCCGCACCGATGGCGCACCTCTGGTCCTTGAGGCCGTCTGAAAATGCGGGGTGCGCCGTCGCTACCTTGCCGTCCAATAGCCCCTTGTTCTCAAAGAAAACATATGGCGTCGCGCATATAGCGGCATACATCAGACCGGCATCCTTTTGAGCTCTGACCATGCCCTCCAGCACTGTGGAATCGCGTAGCCGCTCTGCGCCAGGCATGCCGCCCTGAGTCGATGACGTAGGAAATTATCAGCTTCTAAACTGCTCACAGAAATATCAGTTGATACGACGCCGGCCAATCAATATATGTTTGGCAAATGACAGCGTTAACTCCTGAGCTGAGAACGCCATGCCGGTACAATTGCTGCAACACCCGGACAGCGGCCCTATCCCAAGCTTACCGGGCATGCTATAAGATCGTAGCTGCACTTTGAGCACTCGTTAATATGCTTGTCCGCGATAAGCTTGACCCCGCGAGAACAAACTACGTCTATGGAATCCTCGACCGATGCTACGGTAACCAAGGCCCCTGCCCGCCTGAGAACGTCAATTACAATCACTGCTTCCATCTCCTCTGTCCCATTTCCAATTGGGACCAACACACGCTTCAAGTCATCTGCTGTACCAGCGGCTGCCATCACCGACACAGTTCGCCTGTGAGGCCTCAGAGATTGTACTCTGACCTTCGCCGGTGCGAACTCTATGCAACAGGGATGCACCGATGATGTTGCACCACGACTGGTTGTCCAACGCGCAGCTTTCAGCAGCATGGTAGGGTAAAGCTCTTTCCAAGGATGAACAGTTGCAAAATGTTATAATAATATACCGATGTACCGTAACGTAAGTCGTGAAACACAATTAATCAGGCAGTACTCAGTTTTGTAAGGCCCATAACGGAAGGCAATGTACGGCAGACTAAACCGCTCTGGAAAGCAGAGCACAAGGGTTTGCCCCGCGTATTTTCCCACACGCGGAGGGGGTTAACACTGTCATATTTTAACACAAGCACCATACTGAAATCCATCACTGCCCAGGGCTCTAAACCGCACTCCACCTGCACACGTGCCATCGCCATACATAGCACAAGCCTGCACAAGGACCATCATGCTCACATCTCCGGCCCACCTACCACCAGTGGAACGCATTGCCCCCAGGCAACCTTCACACGCCTTCCTCCCCTTTGACGCACCCACATGCGGCCCACAAACATTTACCAGATAACACTACAACCTCGCTGCACCGCTTGCTGAAACCAACCCTGCCGCGAATCCTATGTGAGGAAATGTTCGCAAACTAACGTCAAAACGTTCCTTTACCTACCAAATGCATTGGTACAGACGCCCATATGTACGCCGCCACCGCCTTTTCGCAAATACGACACAACCGCAGGACCCACGGCAACTGATAGCTACATTATGTCATCATAAACGTGCGCAACATGGCCGACTTCGCAAGTGTGCGGCCACTGTCTTGGGGCCCCCTGCTATCACCCCTTCCGCGAGGCGGTCTTGCTTGATCCGTTACCAACCCATTGCCGTAGAACGATGCCTGTCATGCCCTTGGTACGCAACTTGGCGGGCGTGAGGATTGCCACGTGAGCCTCCTGCCCAGGGCTGCCGTCTACTGACACGCCCTTTCGGCACAGGAAGCGCTGCACCCAGGTGCCCTTGTTGGCGGCGCCGTGTTCCATGCCGGCAGCTGACGGAGCCGGAGCATGGCCCCTATGGATGTAGGGTGAGGATAGAAGGGACAGCGCGCCGACTCGTAATCCAACCGCCGCGCCAAGGAATGATGGCAACGTGCGAAGGTGTCGGCATGATACCAATTCCTGATGCGCCAACCGTCAACAGGTGCATCGGTGAATCTACGGATAACACAGCTCACATGTGACCGGCCAGACGGATACCGCATACGGTACACCGTACCCATTACGTCGATCACACGCCAAAGGCAGCGCACCGGCTGCGAACCTATACTCACCTGCTTCCACCGCCTTTTGAGTAGCCGTAGCCAAGACCCGTTTTCCCTGATGCCACAGAAGGCGCCACCTGGCTGTAGGTTGCGTTTCGGCTGGACCGACCCAGGGGCCTCCCACCAAGCGACATGCCACTTAAACTTTGGCCCATAGGTCCATACTCCATATGCGACAAGCTTGGCATCGGGTAAGTCATAGCATGGCCTTCCACGGTGCTGCCGTCGCTCCTGGCCGTGTACATGTACGGGCCACCTGGAGGCCAGGTTGCAGGGTGCGTGCCGGCAGTGCTGCCGATTGGCCGTATCGTACCAAACGTGTAGTGCTGCTGTTGGCGATGCCCCAGCTGTGGTTGTTGGACCATGCCCATGCTGCGACGCAGGTCGTCTAACTGCTCCTCCAGGGATGCAGCAACCTGACGAGCATGCGCCGCATCCTCTTCCGCCGCCATTGCCTTTGCTTGCATCGCCGAGAGCTGCTCGGAGGTGCTGGACAGCTCGGTGCGCAACTCCTCTATTTCGTGGGCACGATGCGCACAGGACAGTTCCAACGTCCTGCGAAACAGGCAAATGGTAAGGGAGATGCAATATAGGAACTGGCTCCATGGACCGCGTATTATGGCAATAGCTGACACGTGTATGCGCAGCCTTACAGCGACCAACCCGTCCTGTGAGGCCTTACAGTGATGCACGAAAAGATATTTCGACATGTGAACCAAGCCTCACCACGACCTTCAAAGGATGGATTAATTTGAAATATTGTGTCGTATGGCCCCACAGACACACCTCAGCTTGTTCATGAGCAGCTCCTCACGCCGCTCTAGGCCCCGCAACTCCAAAGCGTAGCGGTCGCACTGCTCCACCGCCTCCGCCGCCTGCTGGCGGAAGCGCACCGCCTCGGTAGTGGAACGCTGCAGCGACGCGTCCAGCTCCGTCACCCTGGCCTGCAGCTCGTCCACTTTTGCATCCCGTTTCCACATCTGCGTCTGCAGATTGCTTGCCAGGCGCGCCGCGTGGCTTTGCAGCTCAAAAAACTGATCGCGTTCTGCCAATGCAGCTCGCAGTGATGCCTCCAGCTGCTCATTGCGCTCCAGGAGTACAAATACCTGGCAGTCACGGCTGCGAAGCTGGGCCTGTAGATTGGCCTCCCGACGCGTGCCGGACTCCGGGTCACGGTTGGGCCCCCAAGTTGTGAGCGGATGTGGATCGGAGTCCGAGCTTCAAGGCGGTGTGCGGCGCGTTATCAAAGGAGGAAAGAACGTGGGGCTGGGTATGAGATCACATCTAATCATTGATTACACGGTTAGCACCTGGGCCGCAAGATTGCCATGTACATACCAAGTATGGATCGTGCATGATGACGTATGGTGATGGGCAGAGCTTGCCAAACATCGTTGTAGGGGCTTTGCGGACTACCTCCTTGACTGTCCCACATGGTCGTTGTGGGAGAAGGACACTCACCAGGCAGGCGACGGTGGTGCGATGAAGCCATGCGTATTGACGCAGCTCGTATCCTGTGCAACAACTGTTGCAGTGTCAGCGGGCCTGCTAGAGCCAGGCTGAGCGGCCACGTCGATGGGTGAGCATCCTTGCTCAGCACTTGGCCGCGGCGTGGCAAATTGCATGCCCCCTTGGAGCTCCTGCATCTCCTGTTCCACGCGCTCCAGCCGCGCGCGCGCTTCCCCCAGCTCCTCCTCCAGTCCAGCCACGCGCTGGTCGCGTTCCAAGAGCCTACTTGGACGGCACATATGGCAAGGGTTGAGGCGGGTAGGGCGCGCTCGCTCATTTGTTTTATTCACGCCTAATTTTCTCTTCTCCGGCACAAACGAGGCGTTGCAAAAGGTGGATATAGACAACGTTGGCATTAGCTTCCAAGACCCCATCCTGCACTATAGGTCGCAGGGTCCGACCTTCCTCTTACAACCCCCGGAAGAAGCACTGATGGCGCCAGCTCACCCGTCTCGGAGCTTGCCAAGGAGCACTACCAGCTCAGTCTTCATGGCCATTCCTTCCTCTTGCACGAAGCCGATCAAGCGGGCCATGGGACTGGGGATAACTACGCCGGTGTTTTGAGACCCACAGGATTGCGACGGTGACATTATGACACTCATGCAGACTGGGAGCCGGGGAAGCGAGTATTGTGGTGTGGAACCGGCGCCAAAGCTGAGTGGGCTCCCTACGCCCGTCTCGAAGCTCTCGATGACGCGCGGACGCTCCGCCGGTGAGACCGTAACCGGCTCACTGTCGTGCGCCGTGGACACGCTAGTGGCTTCGGCGTCCACGGTAGCCTTGCAAGCCACCGGTGAGGATGCATTGGTAACCGTTGCGGTGTATTGCACCGGGGTGCCCACCTCGCGGAGCCCCTGCCTCAAAATTGCCCTTATCTCGCTGATCTGCCTGCAGACAACAAAGGTGGAGAGGCGGGGAAACAGTGTCGGCGGTCATGCATGCTTCCATAGTACTGTGCCAGGGTTATGCACAATTGCTGCCGCTGCCCTAGCCGCAATTGCCACCCCGTATGTGCAGCAAGTCCGGAATACAGGGTGGAGTGAGCTGGCAGGTTGCATACCGTGTCACCACATCTTCACAGTCCCGCAGCCGCTCGTCACGCTCCGCAATTTCTTCAATCATCCCGTTGTTAAGCGCAACCAGGTCTGCAGCCTTCTGGGGACAAAGGGATGGGAGGGCATGCATTAGCTCCATTACCACGGTGTGCGGAACAGGAGTGCTCCGCCGACTCAAGGCCACCTGTAGTCCACCGCCCATCTCACCTGGACTGCTGCATCCTGGGCTTCTCTGAGCGCTTGCTGCAGCTTGTCACGCAGCTGCGCCTCAGCCTGTCCGTGCATGGAGTTTCATATACAGTTACAAGTTCCGCACGAGTGGTGGGTTGTCCGTCAAAGCCCAGTGGCCATGGACTACATAGGTGCGGATAATAGTTTCCACTCGCTGCACCACTAACAGTGAGATCTTTCATCAGCAGTTGCCTACGTGACGCTTGCTCTGGCATTGGCACGATATGCATGCCGGAAACGGGAGTGCACCTTGATTCTTACACGCTTCCCTTACAAGCTGCGTCTTTCCCTTGCCAAGCCGACGCCAGCCTTGACAATTTCATCCTACTAAAGGTCTGTCCCAAATCCTCAAACCCATGACCAGTCGCCTTCCCCCTGCCCGCGCTGACCTGGAGTCTCACAGCCAGTTCCCTTTCCAGCATGGCCATATTGTCCACAAGCACCTCTTCGCACAAACGGCTTGGACCAGCACCCTCTGGAGTCACAGGAGACCCGGCGGCGCTGTGGTCACGGCCACTGCAGGACACAACGTTGTCCGGTGTGCTGGCCGCGTTCACCCCTGGAGATTGGTCTTCTGGCCAGTGAGCAAGTGTTCCGCATTCCAGTAAGCGGGGAGACCATTCATTAGGTGATTGGTTGGTTGTGTGGCAACGGCCAGCGGTGTTGCGAGATGCTGACCATGCTGGCCGCGAACCGAACGGGGGTTGCCCGGAAACTCCAGTTACACACGGTGAAAGCGCCGTGCATGGCAACACCAGAACCTTGTCCTTGTTGCGGTCTGTTTCGCGATGGCCGCCCGGACTTTTGCTGCAAGGTCCATGCATGTTTTCTTTGTTGTTGAGCGAGAGTGGCATGAGAGGGTTTGTGTTGCAAGGAGGCGTGGAGTACAGAGCGCGTGCACGCTTGCTGTCCAACTTGGTGGCGCTCATTGTCGCCTCAAATGAGCCCACGGCGCCACTGGCAAATCCACCGAAAGCGGAGACCGGGGATGGAGGACTGTCGCATACACTGCTACCAGCAGCCCCGACGCGCGCGGGACTGTGGATCTGTGGCTTCACATTTCCAGCCCTCGCATCTGCGGACTGTGGATGGCTGCAGGGTGTCACTGCTAAACTTGGCTCGGCCAGGAGGTCAGCCGTCTTGCTGCGCCGGACTTCCACCGCTGCCATAACCGACACACTTGGCGGCTGCAACTGGAGTTCCAGTAGCATAATACGCCGCGTTTCGGACATGCCTGATACGTCCGTGCTGCCATCCCAGCCGACACTCCGAGCAATGCCCACGCCGCTGTCTATTCTGCCACTGCTGCAGCGCCCCTTGGACCACGACGGCGATGGACTTTCCTTGTACCGCGGTGATGCCAGGGTTATCTGCTTGTCGGGCGGCATGGGCAGTTCGCACGCAATGGATTCTGACGCGGCGGGTGCCTCCAGTGAGCTGGTGGCCTTTTTCTTCGCTCCCACCGCTTCTGCTGCGTATGTCTCGTCCTCACGCCCAGCCGAGCGTAGCCGGTCTTCACCATTTAAGCGGCAATCAAACAATGGGTTCACGCGTACCAGTGCACCCAGCGAGCGTGATTCTGCAGCATCGTCGCTGTCCTGTCGTATCATGCCGGTCGCCTCGGTTTGCAGCGGAGAGCCAGCCTGCAGGCTGGCCAACGAGCGGAAGTTGGTGAGACTGAAGGATGGCGGGGCGCTTTCGTAGCTGCGGTTACCGTCTGGTGAGCTGACCGGCACGGAGTGCTGAAGCTCGTCGCTCCCTGCCCTGTTGGCTCCAAAAGCCAACGCCTTGACCTCCGCGCCCTTGCTGTGGCATCGGCTGCGCATCTCCATAAACGCATCAGAGCCCTGCGCCTCAGAGCCGCAAGAAATGCTCGGAGAGGGGGGTGGAGGCGACGGTCGTGCTGAGGAAGCAGAAGCGGACTCTTGGCCAGAGCTGCCGCCGAGCGACGTGGGGCTTGCCAGGCGCACCTGCTCGCTTAGGGATGCGACGGTTGGTGCTGTTCGAGCCTGTTCGGGGGAAGCGCCCAGGAACTCGTCCATGTAGTATTCCTCGGCAGCTTCTGTGACGGCTTCAAGGCCCCCAGAGATGAGACAGGATTCCGCAGGGGAGTAGCGGTGGCGTTGCTTGCAGCGCCACTCGTTGCGGCCCGAATTCTCCTGCACAGCATTGTCAACGTCCGCTGTTCTCGTGGCTGCTTCGAGCTGCCGCTGCAAGTTGCGATTTTGCTGTACAAGTGCGTCGTATGAGCCCTTGAGCGCCGTGTATGCCTCTTCAAGGGCCATGTGGTCTTGTTGTTCCGGGTCGGTTTGTATGACCACCGCTTGGGTAGGCTCTCTCCGCTGTTGCTGGTAGGCCTCCAGTAGACCCGTCAGTTGCTCACACTTCTGAAGCAGCTGTTGGTTCTGCTGTACTGCGTCGGTACGCTTCAAATGAGCATCGTCCCGCTCGCAAAGCGCCTCACGTAGCTGTTCCTCCAATGCCTGCATCCGCACGGCCACAGGAAGTTAGCACATTATCGTCTCCAGGCAGCCTGCCGTCATGCAGATACAAGGCAAGTTGCATCATACACCGATTCGCTGAAGCCATACCTGCAGCTGCGCCAATGTTGGACGGGTGCGCAGCTCGTGCAGCTCATCCTCACACTGCGCAGCAACGAATACATTATGTTCCATGGCCATACGTACAAGGACGGCTCCTTCAAGTGACACTGGCCAATAGATATCTCCCTGCTGGCTCCGCATCATGGTAAAGCTTGCACTTAAAGCGCAGTTTACGGCGCACCTGCTCAACGGTGGCCTCCAGGGCCGACATCTCGCAGCGTTGCGCCTCGCACTGCTCCTCCAGGGCCGCGTGCTCCCTTCAGGCACAGACGACCGCAAAGGAATCATGCACTTGGCGAGAACACCATGAAACTGCCTAGCCAATCGTCCAAGCCCGTTCAGGCACCCTCCCTTAAGTCCCTACTAAACAAATAGCATTCGTGGTAATGTGATGATTTCGGGTCTTCCCAACAAAACCCTCTTACATTCGCAGCCGCGAGTACTCCGCCTCCTTGGCAACAAGCTTCTCCTCCAATTCGCCGTTAACCTGCAGGGCTTGATGCAGCTGCGAGACGCGTGCAGCAGTCTGGTCGCGCCACGCGGACAGCTCCTCGATACCTTGCGGGGGCCCATCCTGCGTGCATAAGTAGCCATTCCATACTAACGCGAAAAGGTCACCTAGTCACAGATTCGCACTTGCACACGAAAGCAGGCCCCAACACAGGCTTCGTATTCTGAAAGATGCCCCGCTCCAACTCCCAAAGCGCGCGGCGCACCTTAGCGTGGAGAGTTCTGAAGATTGACAGTTCTTGTCGCAACCGCTGCACCTCTCCTTGAAGGATGACGGCGTCACCTTGGTGGTCCTCATTTATGACCGCCTGCACGCCATGCCAAGGTACGGAGGTCAACGCCCAATCCGAATATATTCAAAATGTGCAGAAAGACGACATGCGTACCCGGTTCCGCACACGCTTGGCACGCAATGCGAACCCTAACGTGATGTTGGTCTCGGTGGCGCATGTTGGCGACGGGTTGAGGTTGGCGATAATGAGCGTCTTCGCGTTGCCGCCCAAGCAGTCCTGCGGATGACATGACAGGAAAAAGTATCAGCTGAGCGGACGCAAGCGGCCGTACGTACGGTTCGTAGGGTTCGTACCCTTAACCCTTTAGTGTACCTGCAAAAGAAAAGTGAGCTTGGAGTCACGATACGGCACTGGTCCCTGGTTCCGGTTGCGGTCTGACAGCCGCGCGATGACAAGGCACAGCGTGCTGAGCGACTTGTTGATTGCATTAGTCTCCTTCTGCCGTGCACTGCCGTAGTCGGCGCCCCTGGGCGTGCGCTCACTTCCTGTAGGGCGGAGCAGGCACAAACTTTGCATTGGAGAATGACATTATCTACCTGCATCAGGGTTTTGACGGTAGCCGAAGTTTCTTTATGACACACGTGGGTAAGCATCGCCTACAGCCGCGACTCTGAAACCCAATGCAGTAGATACATTCGTGGATGCTGTGCGTCTCCCAGGTGATACATGATCGGCGCAATATTTGCACGGCGAGTGAGGCAACGGCCCAGGCAAAGCTGGAACCTGGCGGCCTCATTGCGCTTCACCGGCACGCATCCTTTCAGACAATGGGCCTACGCACCTGCCAGGTCTACCAGCTGCAACCGCGAGCGCCTAATGCGCACGACGCCCGTGTCCATTTTGTCCTTGGCCTCCATGTACAGCGTGAGGATGCAGTGGGAACGGCTCGACACCGGGTTGGATGCCGTTTCCGCAACAGCTCGGTTTGAGGTGCCGTGACGTAGTAGCTGGAGAGCCTCGGCAGCTGGGTGCAACAGGACGAAATACCGGATGGGAGGGTTGGCCTAGTGGGGAGTCTGGCATGATATGCAAGGGGAGGGGAGAACCACAACCCAAACACGCAAGTACATGACCCTCATGTCTGCATTGACGCCATAGATTGTGAAAGCCTCTGTTTGGGTCCATGGAGATGTCCTGTGGGCGCGGCCTCATGAGCCACCACAGCTGCCATCCCACGCTCTGGACACGTTCGTCTGTTCATTGGACGAAGCCAAGCTCAAATGCGCCCTCGCCAGCTGATACCGTGCCTCCTATTTGCCAACGCTGGGCCACTGCTCACCGTGCGCATGTTTTTCCTTTGGAGCATACCGAGGAGTTCTGTGCTGCTTTTGGCAGAGTGTTAATGCGTGAATTAATGCTTGTGTTTCATCCCGTGGTTTGCGTTCCATCCAGATGAAGCTTTCAGGGTGCCGTGAGTTGAAGACACCTGACCTCGTGAAGAACTGCTGGGGAACCCCTCTCCCGGGTCCCCTTCCCGGGATGCAGACTGGAAGAGAATGCCGGCCTGACGAAAAAGTTACAACCGTGGACCCCTAACTTCCAGTACGCTGCTTCCCTTCGGCGCTGTTGCAAGGAGCTGAGGTTTTGGAATGCAGACGCCATACTCGCCCCCCTTGAGCGCAGGAGGGGGGCCTCCGACGGCGTTTTGGAGGACACAGTGGCCTCATTCCAGACGCTGCTCCCACGGCGGCCCGCAGGGAAAAAAACTAGCACTGAACAAGCTCGACCAGCCGCTAACCCGCTTCTGGGCCAGCTGCGCTTCCAAAACTTGGTACCGCTTCGTGTAAAGGAAGGTAGCATCTAAGGTTGATGTATGGCGGGTGGCATCCCTTGCCCTCAGCTGCCGTACGTCGAACGCTTTGGACTTCCCTTGCCTAAAGGCAACCCGAGGATTTTGCTCCCGCCAGCCAGAGCTATGCATGGTAGTCTTCTCAAGGATTAGATATGGCTGACGTTGCCACGTGCATACGTAGCAACCTCGAACCGCGACTCGAGTGAAGGGGTCTGGTCACCAGAAAAGGTGCCGTTACAAGCACTTTATCACGCAAAATAATCTGGACGTTTTCATCACTCGTAAATCGTGTGGCTTACAAATTCGGCTGAGTTGCTGGTCGTTAAACCCAACCGTCCCCGATAATCTTATTCCACGGATGGAAAAGGGAAACAGCCACAGACGGAGCTGCACTATGCATGTCTTTGGCAAATGCCCTGCGTCTATCGAAATCTGCACGCAATGTGGCATCGCCCCTTAGACAGGTGACGACACACTAAGCGCCATGGAATAAATATTAACACTGGGAGCTCAGTTTTCCATGCAAGCTGCGATCTGGTCGAAGCGCACTGACCTGGGTTAAGCTTTAATTCCTTCCTTTAGTGTGTTTCTTATTTCTTAAACCCTCTGTATGCAGGGTGTGGTTTATGCTTCCCTCTGGATGCAACATGTAACTTGTGCAGAATGGGGCCTAAATCCCAATTCCCCCAATCGTTGTCGATTCATGCCAAAGGCACGTGAAGTGCAAAAAGCTACCGATAGCCTGCCGGTATCAGCCTGGACCGATTGCGCTGGGGACGAGAAACTTACCTGAATGCACCACGACCTCTGACAGGTTAACCACCATCACGCCGCTATCCATGCTCTCCCGAATTTGCAACTTAACCTGCCTGCGTGTTACAGCAGCAGAAACACTATTACACGGCCTGCCGGGCTAAGATCGCAAGGACAGAAGAAATTCCATGAGGAAAGCAAGCAGAGGCCTTCCAAGCCAAGTTCCTACCGGGGATTCAAGAGGTCCGTCACCACCTCTTGGTAGATCTGCAGCATGCTCGCTTTGACCAGGTATTCTGTAGCACCAGTGTTCGCAGGCTTGTTGAGTGGCGATCGCCCTGCGGGCGGCTTAGGTGCATGGACATTCTCGGGTGTCCTTTGCGGTGACGGCGGAGGTGGGGTAAGGCAGCTGTTGCGCGGCGGCACACCGCTAGGGGTGGGGATGCCGCTGCGTCCCCGCGACCGAACGTGTGCGGCGACAGGGGTGGTGCAGGCTTGCTGCGACGCGGGCGGCGGCTGGGGTAAATGGCGCGCTCCCGCCGTAGCGATCGACTGTTTGTGGTTTGATCCCCCGTTGCTGTCGGCAGCAATCTGCTGGAAGATGTATCCCAGGACTCGTGGAATGAGCCCAGCCTGCAGCGGCCGGAAGATGCGGACGCATGCACAAGTGATTAGCTAATCTCAAGGAGCTACTAAACCGTGAAGCGGCAGTCGGCAGTCTCTTTACCATGGGGCGTCCATATTTGGACTCGGGACGAGTTGCCTATTTGCTCAAGGCGGCGGGTGTTCTGTCTATCAATATACGTATGCGTACGTCTCCGTGAATGCAAAAGCCAGGGTGTTAGGACACAAAACCTGCGCTGATGGCAATGTCCAGGCAGTGATCCTAGGTTTCAAGTGCAAGGCCCGAGGGTAGAGGCCCATGGCCGGCATAGGTGAATGTGTCTTTTAACCATTCGCAGCATCAGCTTACCTCACGGGGCATGTCATCGAAGCAGTTGGACGACAGGCTGCGGGGTGCCTTGTCAGAGGGCAGGTTACCAAGCATTGTATGCGTTTTCCCGCTACCCGTCTGGCCATACGCGATGATGGCTGCGTTATAGAAGGCCAGGAAATGGTCTGCCATCGGGCGTCCAGCAACTGTGAGGACAGGGTGCAACTCAACACATGTTAAGTTGCCTTCGGCGGAGGGTAGCTTAGCTGCATGGCCCTACACTCATCGCTCCCGAACCAAAAAGGGGGGTTAGCACAGTGCAGTGCAGGCATACGTTATGCGATGTTCCCTCTTAGTAACATGCAGTTATCTGCGCAAAACTGCACTCACCCCTGAAAAAGCTGCTTTGTCGTGTGTGCGGCGAGGCCACGAAGTCGAAGTCCCAATGGGCATTCTCGGCTCCAGGAGCAGACAGAGCCAGAGCTTTGTGACAAACGTACTTAACGTAGTCCGGAAGGTCTGCCAAGTTGGTAACCATTTCACGGATTTAGTCTCACAGGTTAGTAACGGGAGCTGTACTTAAGAGCGTGAAACGAAGCGGTCAGAAAGGCAGAATGCTTCAACGTTCGCACCTGGCGTAGTTGAAGGCCGGATCTTTGGAATAAGCTGCATAACGAGTTCAGGAATATGTCAGCGCCTGGTCGCATGCCCTAGAGCGGCAAAACGTTGAAACATGTCAGCTCCTTCACCTTGATGCTTTCCTCCGATGGCACGCCTCCTCTCGACCATGGGCCCTCTGTAAGCTGCGTTGGGTATGACAGCCCATGATGTCACAGCTCTTGCGATCCAGCGGCAGGTGACTTTACAGCTGTCGCTGCCTCCAACCCACCGTGCTGCTCGTGTAGCTGGGCTCCATGGGATCAAGCCTATGGTTTGACATTTGGCATGAGGACTACAGAAATTGTTAGGTAAACCTAAACAGACATGAAAGATTTCTACTGTATTATAGTTCAGCTATTGACGCGCCTTTACTGCGACGCGATATATGCATGGTCAAGAGTTATTTAGGGTATACGTTAGTAGCTTGTAAGGTCAGTGCAGGAAAAGCACATCCGCTCGGAGAAGCTGTCAGCCTGTCAATTTCAAGAAAGTACGGCATCCAAGTTCTGCAATTAATATACGGATTTGCAACTTTGTAGCCGTTCGCATCCCATGGTCTTTTATCATGCAGCTCCACTGATTCTCAAGGTGTCTGGTCGCGGGTTCCAGTCGGTTTCCTTTCCCAGCCCCTTCTTGTCTTGAGAGCTTAGGGAAAGTGGAACGTTGGTATGGAGTTTGAAATGTTACAGATTTATCATTACCCGTAACATTTTCCTTGACGGATTGATGTGTTATCGATAGGGTTAAGCCATCAGTCATCCACGTCGTCACCAATCAGGGCCACAATGTCGTTTCGGCGCGGTGCCGCCCTGCTCGCAAGAGGAGTCTCCGATATTCTACCCTCAGGCTTGGAGACCTGCATTGTGCAACGGCTTTGTACCGGCGCTTCCACATCAGGCCGACCATGGGCAACAACAGCTGCAGGGGGCTTTAATTTTCCCTTTGGAGTAGCGGGCAGCGTTTCGGGAGCCATACGTGGGCTGACAAGCCAATCTAACAGGCGCTTGAAGCTTACGCCGACGGAGCTGGGACTGTATTGGGTATGCGACGTGCTTACGGAACGTTAGCTGCAGTGGGGCATCACTAACTCTTGCAACCCTGCATTTCAGGGTGCCGCGGCTGTCTTTATGATAGGGGTATCATATGCTTCGGTTCCCCTATACCGGCTCTTTTGTGCGGTAGGTCGTCTCCCGGTTGTGGGAGGGAAAGCAGGTGACGTGATGTTGGGGCCGAATGGCCCATGGGGCTGGTGAGGTTTGGGATAACGACGGGGTTACACGCGCAAATACGCGAACTGCCGATGTGGGTTGCTTTGCCATTTCTGACATGTCCTGGCCTTCGTAACGCCGACCAGCCCTGGCTTCCGTCGTACCCATGGTGTTGCAGGCGACAGGGTACGGTGGGACGGTTCGGGCAGGCCAGGTGAGGCAACGGACGATCTATTGGCCTACCAACGAGCAATTGTTTGGCCCAGCAAGCTCCTTTCCCTGCTTGCGTGCGCATACAATCCAGATGCTCAGCGCTCTCATTCCCATGCCGAGTAGTAATCGAGCGTGCCTGCACTCAGTTTTATCCTGCCGTCCACATCCTCTTGAACGCAGACTGTGGAGGAGAAGCTAAAACGCCGAATGGAAGCGCCGGACGCTAAAGTCGAGGAGTAAGTCAGGCGCCGAGGCCCAGATCGTACATTGCCTTGCATTTCCAGGCCCTGCCACGATTCCGCATTCCCGTTTGTATAATTAACCCTCCAGCCGAAGATTTTCGTGCTGACTTTGCCGTCTACCTTGTTTCCCAGAGCTGCTGCGGCTCGCGAGATCCGCGTGTGGTTTAACGCTGATGTGTCGGAGAAGATGCCCTGGGAATTCTGGCCAACACAAGAGTACGTGCGGGTACGTCCTGGGCAGAGCACCTTGGTTTTCTTCACTGCGCACAACAAAAGGTGAGGGGCCCAGACGCTCGGCAGGCTGAGGCCAGGTTGTTGTTTCCGCTGAGTAGTGGGCGCTCAACTCGTTTCTCAGGGTGGTATGGCTGCTTGGGCCATGCATAGGAAACATAGGATCACACACCGAAATCGGGAAGGCTTGGGAATGGCCACGAGCGCGGCCAATGTATTCAGGACGCTATAATGTTAGCTCACCTGTCGACTTCCCCCCGTGGCGTCACCCCCACATCCTTATTGCCACACAGCGACAAGCCCGTCACAGGCTATTCGCTGTATAATGTAACACCGGACAAAGCCGCCTTCTACTTCAACAAAATCCAGTGCTTCTGTTTCGAGGAGCAGCGCCTTCGTGGTGGGGAGACTATAGACATGCCTGTCTTCTTCTACATCGACCCCGAGTTCGCAACCGATTGGAATTGTCGCAACATCAATGACATTACTCTGTCGTACATGTTCCATAAGGTAGGGTGGGAAGCAGAACCTCTGTTGGAAAGCCCGAAGATTTTGCCCATCCCCATGGTTAGTGGCTTTTTTGCAGCAATCGATTGTGAAAGTCAAAGAGGCCGGGGCATAGGTGCTACATCTCCAGGGCTACATGCTCATCCAAGCACGAACATGGACATGGAGCGGTGAGGCCGTCTATGCCGGCTAAAAAAAGTTTCCAGACGAGTGGCTTGGGGCCAGACGCGGACGAGTAGAGCACCTCCGGATCCATGTCTTGGAAGACCCGCAGGCCATCCGTGTATTGATTTTCCAATGAATGACCGGCGCCTGACATCTGTACTGGCTTCAGGTTGAGGACGTGGATGAGGACGAGGAAGACAACGGACAGCCCACGGTGGTGAAGTTGCATTCGGGGCCGCATCCGGCAGCTGCTGCACCGGCAGCTGCAGCGAAGGCCTAAATCGTAACTGCCCGGGCATCGAGGCATTCGATGAGGAAACCCTTGCGATTGTGTATGTATGTATGTGTGTGTGCGCGCGAGCGAGCGAGCGACCATGTAGGATGGAGGTCAGGATGATGCGCCGAGGGGCCTTATGAGAATTGTACAATTTCTTCCCTTTCTTGGAATCAGGGTTCTTATGGGCCATGTTGTGTAATGAAAGTGACCATCGCATGGGTGTCCTTCGATATGCTAACAGCAGGATGTTGACGGGCAGAAAGCCTGCCACGACATGGTGTGGACCTGATTTCGATCGCGGAAGCCTGCGCTGCGATTAGCGAGGCACAGCTGGATCGGGATAACTACGGGAGCTCTGGTAGAAGCTGGTACATGAATTAAAAGGTTAACTTTCGTTTCTGGATGTTGCTGGAACCCCATATACGCCTCTGGTTTGGAATGTAGCGAATCACATCCGGTGATCGGCTTAGCACGGTCTAGCACCCCCTATGCGTCCGTCCTGCAATACGGTACAGTGTGATTTGACGGTCGAATCCATCGTTTGAACGTTTTTCAAGCAACGCTTTTGCTGGCAGATGTCGAACAAGAGGAATCCCATGTTTAACCTGATCATTGCCCACTTGTGCCTTCACATCTTCCCATCCGCAAGATCCGATAGGGAAATATCAATCGCTGCATTCTCATATTTACCGGAAGGCCGCCTCCAATTTACTCTTAAGACGTCTTGCAGGTAAATGCCGGTTTACACCTTTGGGTGCAGCCTCAACACGCATGAGCAACTTTAAGTACGCTAGGCATACAAAAGCGTTGCCAAGCGTGCAAACAGAGATCTAAACGGCTTGCAACCCATGGGTATTTAGCTTTGCATGGCCACAGTGTAAGACCGGACGCCGCGACCAGAGCAAAGCAAAGCAGCATACCGTCCATCTGCCAACCAATACGAATGCTAGGCGACATTCCCATATCTCTATACGCCCTGCTTCGTCCCAGAATGGTCCTGGCTGTGTGAAATTTAGCCATCCGACCATCGCCCTAAACAACACACAGCTTGGGCCGGACACAGCGTCCGCATGCATGAGATCCGCCAACAAGCAATACACAATCAGCACCAACGGGTTCTGCAACTGCAGAGGTCACCTACCAACCGCGCCAGTTATGAAGGGAGCAACAACCAACGGTTGGTAGTGACTGCTGTCAACTGGCAGGAATAATCCTACGGCCCAGAATTATGATGCCAATAGTGCACGGGCCTCATGTCCACAGCATGTTTACTAGGATTGCCGCCGTGCACCGCATCTAGGATGCACAGTACGCCTTTTCATCAACGCGGAACTGCGACCCCGTACAGCGCGCCACTCCAGCTAGCGACGCTCTCTGTCGTCCCTGCGCGTTCGCCGCTCGCGCTTTGCCTGCTTGTTGAGCAGGATGACGAGCACCCGCGCGAAGATGGCCAGCAAATCCACCAAAAGATCCAACGCCGCACGGATAGGGTCCATGTAGCCGGCGCCCGCCTTCTCCACAATCAACTGCGCGATCAGATTTGCAGGTCCGGCACCAGGTGCATTGTGGTGAACTGTAACCGTCAAGGTTAGGTGTTACATTTAAACTGCCGCGAGAAAGGATGTGCGATGCCCGCTATTCCACAAGCCACCAACACACGCATATCGCCCCAAATGGTGCCGCGCAACACAGCATAGAGACAGGGTAGGACACAGAACCGCGCAGCACAGCGCAGCGCACGGCTGCTCCTCTCTTAACACGTGCCATCCGCACCATCCCTCGAGCCCTTGAAAGCCATAAGGACTGTATCTGTGACCCTATTCTCCGACTGCTACCCCAATCCCGGCTTTTGCGTTGATCGCTCGCTGTTCCATTTTCGCTTTTCTTACCCACTAGTACCCTCACGCCCAAAGCCGCACCACAAGCACCTCACCTGCGTGTCTACCAGCACGTAGAGTGCAAACATCAGGAGACCAACATACAGCTCCGCCTGGAACGCAAGCGTACCAGCACCCAGCAGCCAGGAGCTGAGGCGCAGGACAAAGAGGCCGGTCACGGCAGAGGCCAGCCAGCCGCCCAGGAACAGGAAGCTCCGCCTTGCTGACAGCAGCGCCGCCAGCGTGAAGCTCAAGAACACCGCCGCGGTTCCCAGGAAGGCGGTGAGGACGATGCTGTTGGGGAGTCAAAAACCGTTGGAACAAACAACAAAGAAAAGGGAGGAGTTTACGGACCGGGGGTGCATAGAGACGTGTGGCGGTGGATGAGGTGTGGGTAGTGATGCCGTACGACCACATAGCAGGGCAGACGCGGAGAGCGTCTGGAGGAAGTGAGTAAATGGACTCACCTTGGGTCGACAAGCACAGCCAAGTCGACAAGCTTCCCGAGAGCAGCGCCCTGGCAGAAGCTGAAACCCGCCAGCATAGCATACCGTTTATTCTACGCAGGTGAGCACGGGGTTCAGTACGTAGGCATGTAATTGAACTGCAAACGTAGACGTGGCAGCGATGAAGAACCGTAAGCACGGTGGTTTGACGTGCAATCCTCTATCCGTACAATTTCATCACAGCTGATGTGGCGTTACTGGCAGCCTGTGTGTAACGGAGATCTGAAACCCCAAGCCCATCTTGTCCCATAGGTGGCACGAAGAGGAATACACCAAAAACACCACAGGCCGAGCAGGAGGACGCCATAGGTTGGGCGTCTCAGCCAACCAGTGCGGGTGAGCTGCGGATCCGGAGAAGCTACTGACCTAACATGTGCCAAACATTGATGGTTCCTTGGTATTACTAATGCCACCCACCAGGTTACTTGGAGTGTTTGAGGTAAGGGTGAGGCCCATCAAGCATCCAAAACCCGTAAGGTACGTGAGGACGCCCGCGATGCTATAGTACAGGTCTGAAAGGCATCCCAGAGCAGATATTGTCAAAGCCACCCCAAGTGTGGCATAAACGCGCTGCAGATGCTTCTGGATTGGCCGATCCCTGAATAGGCAAATTCCTAGTTACAAATGGGACGTCGCTTGCAGAAAGGGATTCAAAAACTTACAGATGATTGAATTTGAGGAATGTTCCTAGAGTAACCCCATCCCAGCGTCGTCCGACGAGTCTCTCCACGGCATCCATGGCTATATGTTTTCTCCCCGAATCTATTCAGGCAGAGGTTTCACTTTTTAACTTCTGGTATGATTTTGCTTACTCCAGTTGCTTAGAAAGCTAAGCTTGCCACCTGCAAAATTATTCCGAAATTCCTGGGTGTACGGCTTCAATACAGGGTGTCCTTGTCCTGCTTCCTATGCATTTCACCATTCCTATAGTGACCAGGGCAAATGTGATAGTGTAGGGATTTTTGTGGATTGCTTCTCATATCCTTGTCATTGCAATTGGTGTTTGTGGCGAGTTGTGCTTTGCTCTCCTTTTAGGTATAACCTGCAACAATTGTGACATATCCTGTGCAATTTTGGGGGCACAGCATCGTTATATACCAGCGCGTGGGCTCAAGGTAGCTTAGCACCAGGAAATTGCCAACAATGCCTAAGCAGACAGTGAAGCTCGTGTCGGCCGAGGGCTACGAATTCATCGTAGACTACAAGGCCGCGTGTGTCTCTAACACCATCCGGAACATGCTCAGCTCGCAAGGTATGCAAAGTCTTAAGACCGCACAGCCTTGCACGGCTGCTGACTGTGTCCTGGAATGTATAGGTAGCTTCACTGAGACGGAGTTGGGTGAGGTCAAGTTTCCCGAAATCTCAACGCCCATTCTGGAGAAAGTTTGCCAGTATTTTTACTATAAGCTACGCTATCAGAACTCGTAAGTGGCAAACAATGACGAAAGGGGTTTGGTGGGGGTTTGGCTGGTGCCGACGTTGGGCGTGTCCTTGCCAGTGCGTATCTTGGGGCACCCACTAGGGCGCTCGCTGCCTACAGTGCGAGTCGGTCTGCATTAATGAACCGCCCAGGTTCAGTCGGCATACAGGCCTCGACTTCGGTGCCGGTGCTCTCTGAAAAATAAGCCTGAGTGGCTTATTTCATAACAGGGATAATCAAGCCGTACCGTGCGGGCAAAACACAAATGCTCCACGGAGCTGTGTGACGGGAAGCGCGGAGCTTTGTGCTTTTGTAAATCTCCAGGCCCCCGCGCTTTGACGGACAACCTCCCATTCGTGCGGAACTTGTGACTTAATAAATCACTTACCTTTCTGTTACGCACTGTAACAGGACCACGAAGAACATCCCGGACTTCAAGGTCGCGCCTGAGATAGCCCTGGAGCTGCTCATGGCAGCCAACTTCCTAGACACATAAGTAGCCGAGAACCCTTTGACCTGGAAACTTGGTTTCTGTCCGAGCGTGCTGCGGTCGCAAGGTTTTGGAGCGTGCGTGTCGGTGCTTGGCGCTTGTGCCGCAGGTCTTCCATATGTTTGGTTAGCTCCCTGTTCCCTTAGGGGCTTACGGGGTGGGCATGGGTTCATGTTCAGCATATCTTTCGTTGGGTTTGTTCTCTGGCTTGCACATGAATACGGTACAGTTTCAATGGCTATTGTTGAGTCTGCATTTACAGCAGGGAGTACATGCATCCATCTGGACGAGCCCGAGCGCATAACCTGATAGCAGCCCGTGACGCACGTTATGTTGACGGTTGCCGTCTGGGATCAGGCCACGGTCGCGACAACGAATCACGTCTTTTCCCATCGTGAATAATCGTCGCAACGGTTTCCGCTTGGCGACTTGGAATACCCTCGGGGCCGCAGTGGTAAGATGACTACACAGTGGTTAGGGTTGTTAAGTGGGGTCGTCGTCACACATGCTACGAGCACACTGGATCAGGGATGTGGGTCATGTGCAAACAGGCAGGATAAGAGGTTTCTCCCCGCTCCCACCAGACTAATGTCATGAGAATGACTAACGTGGTGGGTACCTGACCTTATGGGTTATCAAGTTGAATATTGTACTGCAGCCGACTGTGAAGGGCTAATGTTTGCTGTGAAAGCACGTCTGATCGCGGATATGGCTCTGCCACCACCTATTAGACGGCTATTAGAAACATTGGAGGAGATAGGTATGGCGACGTTCCCCGTTACTATGCAGTTTCACCCTTTTGCTTACGATGTAACCGCCCTCACTTGTGTTACAGCGCTCGTTTTGGCAAGGTTTGGCAGATGCAGGGAAGCCTAGGGAAGTAAGTGCTGTCTCAGTTTGCATACGGTGATCTGTTCTGCCGCAGTGTACGTAACGGTGGGATGAGGGAGCCCTAAGTTGGTCAGGTAGCTTCCAATGTTCTAATTATCTTCTCCATTTACTTTTGCGTTGATGAGGATAACAGTAACTGTGACATTAGTAACTAGATGAGGCGCATGTCTTGCAGAAAACGCACGGCCGAGCTGATGCCGAGTGGAACGCACGGGGTGTGGAGCATAGACGCCCATGCAGTGCGAAAGCAGCTGCTATAGCACGGGCTGGTTCCCCGCCCGAGAGCACAGCAGCAGGCCGAACGAAGCAGAAAGCCCTTGCGAAGTCGAATAGTTGCCTTATGAGCCCTAAGGGCATTGAAGTGAAACCGTCGGCCAAGTTAGGATGCATATGGACACGGAGTATGGATAATATGGAGTATAATATGGCAATACGGCACGAGCGATCGAAAGTAGGACCAATTCCCTATCGAACGAATACAGACGCCCACCGTCAAAAACGGCAAAAAGTAGCTACAAGAGCACGCCATGGTTTCCCGCGAAACAGAAAAAGAACCCTAGCAAGCGCGCTGCATGATGCACAATGTTGCGTGAGTTAAACTTGTATGCCGATACAGGGGTGGTTGTGCAAAAGCGAAACACGTGCAGGGTGACTTTTCATCTGTCAGGACGTGAAGCCCTGAAAATTTTACATTGGCACGACTGAGTTTGCTGAGTCGCAAGAACATTGGAAAATTGACCAACGCTGCACAAGATGGAATTTCGTCATACCTGACCGGACCGGTCCTGAGGACAACGACTGTACTGCATTTGAGTACACGTCGGAAAAATCATATGAAATCCTTTGAACGCCCTGTCTTTATTCACGTGAATACGTAAGTCACGAAACAAAAGGGATTAATCGTTGTCCGGCTTCCGGCACGTATTGAGATGGCTCACAATCTCGCATCTCGTTCCGTTGTCCGTTCTTGCGTTTCGGCCTCCATTGATGCTTGCCCCGTAATGAGGCCGACTACCATTCTCAGTCGGAGGACGGTCCTGAACAGGTCCGTTAAAGATGATCGGCGAGGAGTGTTCTTGGCGGCCGCATACTCAATTTTTCTTCGTGTCATTTTCAGGCTGGCGCGCGTCTCGTCAGCCAATGCAGCCAGCTTGTCTCGGCGCGTATTGGTATGCAGGTAAGCTGCATATGCGCACCTCCTGGCCACCGGGATTCTCGGGCTGACTGACGTCGTCTGCAGGGCCTCGGGTGGTGCGACGATGGCAGGTCCTATGCCCACGGTAAAGATCGATAACATCCGGGATCCTTTTGCAACCGTTTTGACGGTGGAGTACGGGGAGAAGACTGGAGAGCTGCTTGATGCGGTAAGCGCTCGCGTCTACACGAGAGTTTGAGCTTAACCACCGGAACCTACTCTTGACGTGCGATACCGATTGCGTTTCTACCTCAGATTACTGCGCTAAAGAATTTGGGGTTGAATATTCGGCGAGCGAAGGTCAACACTGGCGGAACCACTTTCTATATTACTGATGCGGATACGAGCGAGAAGATTGTGAAGTCAGCACGCCTGGAGGATATTCGCATGACTGTGCTGAACAGCCTTGTGGCGAAGTTCCCGGTGAGTTTGCCCGGGTTCAATTTGTTGCTGGTGTAGCGTGGGACAACGGTAGAGGAAGCATTTGGCATGTCCAAATTCGGACATGGACATGGCTGGCAAGCTTTGTTCTACACCGTTTGTAGTGCTGCAGGTTAAGTGCAATACATACCTGCAGTACAAACCTGGCGGTTGCTATCTGGATAGCGTTTCATGTGCATGTGATGCGCCAGCCTACATGTCGGGGATGCAACTGGGCCGTATTGGCATCACGGTTGAAGTATGCAAGGATGCCTTATGGCAAGAGGGCAGATCACGTTTGTTAAGGGCTTGCATGCTTGCGCATGCGTCTCCGACCATGCGTCTCCTTAAAGCGCTGCCCTGTCGATATAACTATGCAGGAGGTGGGCGAGGCGCTATCTGTAGGCGCCAAGTCGAATGATTTGGACGGCAACAAAGTCCTTGGCACGCGCCGCAAGGTAGTGCAGACCACGATCGACATCGTGGAGGCGTCCAACGGATCGTGCTCTGTGCTCAAGATCGTTACCAGTGATCGGCCTGGCCTGCTGGTGAGATACGTCGTTGCCGTTTGGACGGGCATGCCTCGTGGGGATGATTCATGCCATGCTTCAGTGTTTGCCCTTTTCTTACTTCTACTCGTGGCTCGTTTGGTTACCAACTCTTGTGGGTCACTTGATGGCAACTGCATTGCAGCATGCCCCTTGGTTAGCAATCGAGGAGTCCACGGGGGTTAGCTCACTTCCTACCATTCATAGGACTGGATGTTTGAAACTTTGTTCGGGACCCCCGGGTTTTGTTCAGGTGGACATTGTCCGTGTTCTGAAGGACATCAACCTCAACGTGGTGTCGGCTGAGATTGACACTGAGGGGACTCTGGCCAAGGACGAGTTCTTCATTACGTACCATGGTGAGCCGCTGACGACGCCTATGGTGACTTTGGTGACCAACGCGCTGCAGTACTATCTCAGTCTGGCGGAGGTCGCCAAGGAGGAATCCTACTAGTCAAATAATATGGTGTACCTGGGCTGTGGTTCCGTATTCTGCTGTTATTTAGCGCATGCTTCTTAGCGCGGACTGATTTATGTTTGCCATACGTGTGTTACGCGGTGCTGCAGTGTGTTTCTTGGGTTTGCTCGTTCTGACAGGGTTTGCAACTTGTGTGGAGTGTCGTGGCAATGCGTGCAAGCGTGGAGCCGGATCGTTAGGGCTCGTGGATGGTTTCTAGTGCGCTGCTGTGGACGGATAGATAGGAGGCGTTGGTAGGGACGGGCGAAGGTGTTTGCGGATCTCGTTTTGCTAACACGTTAGGCGTCTTAAGCTGGGGAGCATGCCTATGTGCAAGTAGCTGCGGAGTCTTGTTACACAATCAGCTACCTCGCACAGGGAAAGCAGCACCGGAGGTTAGCTGCGGTGCGGAAGTCAGTTCTCTCGCGGCACGAAGCAAAACTTCTCGTTGTGGGCGGGGTTGGGTTATGAAGTATTGGACCCGGCGGACATCCCGTGACCAGTGCGCAAGGAAAAAGAGTTGCGTGAAATTGTTTTCTTCGTTAATGCCGTAGTGTTCAAGTGCGCCAGGAGTTTCCACGTTTGCCGCTGTGCTGTGGGACGCTCGGAGGGATTCGTTGGCCTATCGGCGCGGACGGATGCTGTGCGTAATGTATTCTTTGAAGTGCGTCGTCAGGCAGCTGCCAGCGGCCGGCGTGCACTTCGTTGTGTGCTTGCTTGTGGTTGCTAACTATTCATGCCAGTGCTGTGGATTATTGCTACCAATTAAGAGTAGACAATGGTTCTGCGAGATATGTTCGGGTCTTATCAAGTTGCTGTAGCAAACAGAGAAGATATTTTGGTATTTTCAACAGATTACGATGCATGTTACACGAGCAATATCACCACAGATTTACCTTACTTCGGTTCCCTATGCTGCTGCCATCATATTTGCATTAGTCAGTATGCTGACGCGCGTGACGTTAGTACAGGCATATTGGAGCGTCACTGCTCGGCCAGTCGCACGAGCGCTTGCTCAGCGTGGTAGGACCGGCGCAACCACCGCCGTGAAGTCATGCAGAAAGCGCTCTGTCGAAAAAGCCATGGCTTGCTTCTGTGCCGCCGCGGCGATCTTCATACGCTCCCGCTGGTCCATCGTAAGCACCTGCGGAGCCCCATTGCAAATCCCGACGGTTAGCCAGAATGTCTACAAATCGCCATTCTCGGGCAACAGCTATGGCGCACAGTTGGTTTTATAAGCCGAGCTGCTTGGGCACACGCAACAGGCTGTCAGGTACAAAGGCGTACACCCAAGACCGTACACTTCTCATACACAGCAGCGCAATTGCTTCGTGGCTACGGACTACAAATGGGCCTTTGGATTGCACCGGGCGTCGTAAAGTTGACGTCATATCCTCGCTGTCCGAGTTGGAAGTCCTGAATTTTCGAAATCACCGTCCCCACCCGGCCACTTATTCGTACCTACATGCCGCGTGCAACCCTGCCCTCCACCATCCCTGGTGTAGCTTTTTCAACGGCAACCTACCCGCGTAATTGCCTCCGAGTACTCCTCCGCGCTGGTGGACAAGAAACCCGTCACCTGTTCGCAGCCGTCGTCGCCCTGCACCGGCTTAACGATGTCCTGTTTGGGGCCAGCTGTAGGTTTAGGAGCATTGGGGATTGACGAGAACGTTTTTATGCCAAGTATCCGTCACACGGGGCCACAGCCTGAGTCAAGTCAAACGGAAGTCGCAGAGGGATAAACTGATGAAGGCAAGGTCGCGAGGGCGGACGACCAAGAGCAACTGCAAATTGCTAAAAGAGAAAAACTGGCCCGTAAATCGCCCACGGGCATATGGCATCATCCGTTGATGTCACAAACAAGACCAGGACTGGACCCACGGCCATAGTCAAGGGCGCCCAAACGGGGTATATATACCGCACAAGAGTCCAAGCCTATCACGCCAGAGGAGGTGAGGGACTTTCAGGAGGTGGGGGACTAAACGGAACCCCCAAACTGCTTCCGCGCTCCGTGGTGCCCATGCCGTGGAGTTCGACCAGTGCCCTCCCAACCTCACACCAGTCCACGCAAACAGGGCCGCGACTGTTGCACGACTGCAGCACGCATCTGGCTGACAAGGACGGGGCGTTCCTACAGCTAGATAGCTAGCTGGCCAGATAAAGAACTGATAACGCGAAAGTCTCTTTTAACATCTTCAGCTGCTGGCTTTCGCCCCCGCCCCGGTTGAGTGTCCCCTCGCTAGTTTGTCCGAGCCCAAATGAGAGAGGTTCCCCGGATGGCTCACCGGAGTTGTGCGCGATGGGGACCACGCCGGCCGCCATGTACTCTACAACGCTGATGCCAAAGTGCTCGTCTACCATGGTATGCAGCCCACCCACCGCACCGCCCAGCTGCGACTTGAGCTCCGAAAACGACGCGTTGACGATCTGGTCAGGACAAAAAGGGATGCGAAGCAGGAAACGACACAGGTCAGGAAGTGGCAGAAAAGGGACTAATACAGACAGGGCCCCTCCATTTTGCCGCGACCCGGTGATTCTCTTCTTCCCATGCCGCGCTGGTCACTCCCCGACAGCTCCAAGGGGCCATCCGCCCCACTCTTACCCACTCCACACAGTCCGCCAGCCCGAGCTCATGTGCGTATTGCTGCAATGCAGCTAGCCGTGCCTCGTCATCCGCGTTGCGGCAGCCACCGATGAACTTCAGCTTTGCCTCCCGTACCGCCTGGCCCTGCCGCCGACACAGACGCAGCGGATATGCACAGAACCGAAGCCAAGCAGGCCACCACCTTGTTACTAACAAAACAAGAACTAACCGAGGAAATGATAAAAAAGGAAAAGAAACTTAATCGCCAAGCTTTTCCTGGTGCCGTAACGGTGCCGTAACCGGCGCCAAAAGACCCTACAGGCGCGGCGTCCGTCTCGTTGTTTAAGACCGAGAAATTAATATCGCAGCTAACAAGTCATCTCATCCCACTACGTACAGTGTCCCAATAAAACCCCCACCTCCGCCCCGTCCTCCATCACAACCCTCCTATGTTGTTGTGCCCCGGAGGTTCCCCACCGCATTCCCCGGGCCCCAGCCCCTTCCCCTTTTCCCGCCGCACCTGCAAGGTGGGCCCAGCCATCCGCTTCGCCAGCGCAAACGCCTCCAGCTGCAGCCGGTGGTTTTTCTCCGGTCTGAACTGGTTGACCGACACCAGGTACAGCTGCTTGAGCTTGCGGTCCAGGGGTAGCTGGAGCAGCTCCCTGGTATCGACAGGCGGGTAGACCTGCCCGGAAGCGGGTGGTTGGGAATCGTATGAGGGTGCGACAAGGTAAAAGAGACAAAGGGTAAAGTACCCACACACCCAAAGCACCTAGTGCCGAAAAGTCCAAAGCCACTACGTAAGAAGATGCGGGACGGGGAGGGCCGGAAGAAATAAAACAAAGAAACGAAAAGGGTAAACTACCGAGAATCCGACGCAACAAACTGCTGAAGCCCAACGCGTATGATGCAGTCAAACTGCCCAATAGTCCGGAAGCTGATACACAGAAATGGCCGAGATGGTGCGCCGTTACGGATTTGGGTTGGGGCAGGGTGTGGGGAGGTCGGGGGCCAGGTCGCCGATGGGAAGGGCAGCTGTGCGTGTGCCTTGGTTGTTTGCCCTGGTTCTGACGATCCGTTCCCAGCACCACCACGTCATGCCCACGACAACATCAGCAGCAACTTTAACCGGTGCCCTGCATATTAGCGCACGGACAAACATTGAACCCTAACTGAATTCCCCAAACCCCGCAACCTTCCTGAGCCTGCATCCCCAGCAGATATCGCCCCTAGCCGCAGCTACCGCCACCGCTCACCAGCAACGGGGCTCTCCCAAGGAACCAGATTCGCTGTATGTGGTCACGTGTCCAAGAGGAGTTGACGCACGTGACTGCCGTAACGCAGCCACAAACGCCGTACCACAGCGCCACGACACGGTAGTACAGCAGCTTGATGGTGGTCTTGACAGGAGACTCTGCCAAGAAATGACCAAGGCAGCGACGAAACGCAACAGCCGATGTGCCGATGTGTCCGAGAGGAGCCCCCAAACCAAAAGCCATGGCTGGAGTGGACTATGGCGGCTGCTTTAAAAATGAAAACTCTTGGGGCGCTTTACTTTGCAGAGGAGGAAGAACTTCAGGAGGCAGATCACATCAGGATCATATCCCCACTGGCGCCCGCCAAAAGAAACAAGAACGTTACGCTTTGGCATTACGTGTGCATGTATGCATGTATGTATGTATGTATGTATGTATGTATGTATGTATGTATGTATGTATGTATGTATGTATGTATGTATGTATGTATGTATGTATGTATGTATGTATGTATGTATGTTTGTTTGTATGTATGTTACACCTTCTGGAGCCGCGTTACCCTCCGAAGGCGTAACGGCCCCGTACCTGGAGCCCTGATGGGGCCCAAGGGCCCGGACCTAGGACGATCCCACCAGCCCCCTAGAGACACATTGCGCATGACTACACTTGCCTTACCTGCAATGTCCGCGTCATTGTTGTACGTTGCCGTACCGCTCCACACGCGGCCGAGCATGTCAGAGCTGATGGTAGGGTAGTGCACGTACGCCACCACGCGTGAGCCAGCTTTCCAAGCAAAAGGGTAAGGGAACGCCCAGCCTGTGGTGTCAATGTACACCTGGAGGACCCCAGAAAACCAAGGTCACCGTTACGACGAAAGGGTAGGCGGGAGAAAGAGGAAGGGCTAAACGTGAGGAAACGAACCCACGCACAATCCAAGATCACGCAGTCCAGCTCCTCTCGCTGCTTTTATATGTCGTCCTCTTTTCCACACGCCTCTTCCATGCCTCTCAGCCCCCAGCTCCCCTAACCGGAGCCCATTTGTGTTGCTTTAAAGCTCCCGGTCGCCGCGTCTCAAAACCTCTCACCCCACCACCTCATCCGCCCCGGGGCTTTGCGGCTTTGGACGTCCGCATTTTGATCTTTGCTCCTTTTGCGCCGTTATCGTTGTCAACACGTCCCAACACGGAGCAGGCGCCCCTCTCACAGGGCGCAGACGCACCCGGCAGTGCCCTGTATCAACTACGAGTCTACGTCTACGTCTACGAGCTCGTTTTGGCGTTTCTTGTCCCCGCGCCGCGCAAATCCTCCTCAGAGAGCCCACGCACGCCCGCACACCCGCACCTCGGGCACCAGCTGCCTTAGCGCCTCCAGCCCCAGGGCCACAGAGCCCAGTGCCTGGCGCAACAGCGTGAACCGGGGGTAGCGCTCCGGCTTCACGAGGTGAGTGCGGCGCAGCGGGATGACCTGCAGGGTACGAGGGAGGGGGGGAGCCATGTGAGGGTACGAGGGAGGGGGGGAGCCATGTGAGGGTACGAGGGAGGGGGGGAGCCATGTGAGGGTACGAGGGAGGGGGGGAGCCATGTGAGGGTACGAGGGAGGGGGGGAGCCATGTGAGGGTACGAGGGAGGGGGGGAGCCATGTGAGGGTGCGAGGGAGGGGGGGAGCCATGTGAGGGTACGAGGGAGGGGGGGAGCCATGTGAGGGTACGAGGGAGGGGGGGAGCCATGTGAGGGTGCGAGGGAGGGGGGGAGCCATGTGAGGGTGCGAGGGAGGGGGGGAGCCATGTGAGGGTACGAGGGAGGGGGGGAGCCATGTGAGGGTGCGAGGGAGGGGGGGAGCCATGTGAGGGTACGAGGGAGGGGGGGAGCCATGTGAGGGTACGAGGGAGGGGGGGAGCCATGTGAGGGTACGAGGGAGGGGGGGAGCCATGTGAGGGTACGAGGGATAATAAGGAACAAACTGACGACATCCAAGGCCGCAAAGCCCGTGAAGAAGCGCAGGACGAAAGGAAGGGACCACATAGATAGATAAGTAGATAGATAGATAGAGAGAGAGAGTGAAGGGGGACGAGCAGAACCCGTGCGCTACAAAGGGTTGCTCAGCTTTGTTGTTCTAATCCTATCTTCTAATCTCGGTCAAGGTTCTAGGATTACGCAGTTAATGGTTCCTTATTTGAACTTGACTAGGACTGCGTTTTGGCCAAAGCTAGCTTCCGGCTTTGTATTCCTTGAGATTAAATTTGTTCGACCAGCCGCTGGTAGGCCGAATTAAAGACAAGGTGATATCGAGAGTGGGCGGAAGGAAATTTCCAGGACTGTGACTGCACTGCATGACTCCAAGACCGGAGATCGGGCAGGAGCGTGGTTTCGGAGGCAAGGCAGGGATGTGAATATTAATTCACTTAATTCACTTGGAGCAGGGCCGGGACGAAGACGTGACGGGGTTAGACGCCGGGAAACGGGATGGGGGTCCCATCTGGATTACCAGCGTCTCCACCCGGCGGTGTGGGGAGGGTGGTGCTAACTTGAGTGCGCAACGTTGTGTTGGTGGTGTTGGGGTATTTGCCAGCGGGCGGGAGGGAGGGAGGAAGAGAGGGGGTGTTTGGGACGAAGGGAGGGCGGGAGGGAGGGAGAGCTGCAGGCCCCCAGAACGAGACCCTGTGTCCCTGGGAGGTGGAGACGGACCGATACACACGCATACATGCATGCGGCAGACACGTACCAACGCGCCGACAGTTGGCGGTTACCAGGTGGATGTGGAAACTGGAAGTACGGCTTGACGTATCAATACCAACAAAATCGAACCCTTGGAGATGACGAGGGTCGTGTGTCTGGAATGTTAAATTGAGGAGTCGGTCACGCGATGAAATAATAGGTAGGTCGTGTGGCTGTGGGGGATTTTAAGCGACCCCATGCGACACCGGGAGGCCCAACCCAAGCCGGTGGACCTCTAGATTGGGCCATTTGATTAACTGCATGGTAGCCTGACCAGGACAGACCCTGAATTACTTCACTCAGGAATGTCTGTCCGTCGATTGCGTCCGCAAGCCATGTTTCATACGGTCCACGGCTTGCTTCGTACAAGCCCCTAGAACCTAATACCTACAACGTATTAGGTAGAGCCAACAACGACGGTACGTGGCCACTGCACCCAGAGAAGGTACTCACCCGAATGGGCTTTTCAATGCGGATGTTGAAACGCGACTGGGCGTCCTGCAGGAGGCGCTCTGCGGTGACCCCCTCCCGCACGAAAATTGCCACCTGCGCGGTGCGCGGAACACAGGGCTGCGTTGTACCAGGAGGCGCTAATATGGAGCTGTGTCGATGAGATGGTCGGCTGAGTGATTGGATTGGAATGATGGATAGAGGGGACTTTCATGAGGGTCAGGGTTGCGAGCCCGCGTAGTACCTGCGCTGCTGGGCTTGCATCTTGGACGGCCTTCACGGCACACCTATGCGACAACAATCTACGAGTTAGAGTTGCTATATGACGGGAAAGAAGAGACGCCGCGGTGTTCGGGACCCATAATTGCTCACCACAGCACGCGTTCACCACCACCGCCCCCGTCGGCAAACGGATGGAAGAATGCCACCACGCCCTGCACGTTGGCCAGGCAGCGAGTGAGCGCCCAGTATCATCCCGTAGCCCGTAAACTCCCTAAGGTGAAGGTGGCATGTAATTGCACTGCACCTTTTGCACCCGGGGTAGCCCGCTGGCTAGGACATAGAACGTGATTGTTGCGCACGCTGTCCCCAGGACAAGCGCACACAAGGCAGCAAGGAGTATTAAGAACAATGAGTCCATGGCGCCTACATGCTACGCGGCAGGCCCAAGCGCGCTACACGCTCTTCATATGGAAGCAATGTCGTTGTGGCGATCAGGGTAGATAGCGACGCTGAAGTTAGCTGCGGTTTTCTAGATACGACATGCCAAGCGACATGGTTTAGCAAGTGCTGGTTTCAGTTGACTGTCGCAGGTTGAGTGCAAATGCCGTACTGTTACGAATATGAAAGTAGCTCAGGCACCCCAAAGTGATGAAAACATACCCTCAAAGACATCCTGGTTTCGGCTTTTACGTTGTGTCTTCGGGGTGTAGCCTAGGACTTCTATTGTTTCGCCAGCCCAAGGGCGCAACCGATATCGGACGCCTTCGCCGCCCAAATCTGTAATCGCATTTGGTTCAAATAACGTTTAGTGATCGCCTTGTAGCCGCCATCCATCCTCCTGCTGCTCGGGCCCTTACCTAGACGTCGGAAAAATGGGAATTCTCGAAAAGTAAGTAGGGTGTTGTATTTAATGAGTAATAACATGGCCATCGGTGCCGGGAGCTGTGACGCGGAGCCCTCCTGCCGTGTAGAATTAAGGAGATCGAGGCGGAAATGGCCCGGACGCAGAAGAACAAGGTGCGTGCGGGCCCCCGGGGGCATTCCGGTTGGGACGGCGATCTTGGAATGGGGGTGATGGCGAAGCTGAATTCTCAGGTCCAGCACCCCGCATATGCACCCCATCCTAATGCTGGGGTTTTAGTTAATTTACAGGCTGGGCAGGAGCCTTGCAATGCATTCCGCCCTCACGCTGGCGGCCATTTCGGCATATTCATGGTATCCCCGTTGGCTTACCACAGTCCCTGCCATAGACTCGTACATGGCTTCTGGCGCTACCAGGCGCCTCATCCAACCACCTTCCCGTGGCCTTTTCCCTCTTTCAGGCCACTGAGTATCACTTGGGCCAGCTGAAGGCCCGCCTGGCCAAACTTCGAACGGAGCTGCAGGCGCCTTCCACCAAAGTGTGTCGGGGGTAAAAAGTGTGTGTGTGTGTATGTGTGTTGGGGGGGGGAGAAAGGGGTCATCTCTACGGGCGGACTGCCGGATAACAATGTGGGCCTTCAGACATGGACGGTCCCTGGTGTTCCCCCCAAAGCACGCACGTCTGTCTCCCCTTCGTTACCCGCTCATTTGCTAGTGGTTCGTCGTACCCGTCGTTATTGCCCGTACGGAATCGGTGTACCGGGTTGCCGGGATGTGCCGTTGTGTGACCGTCGTACAGGGAGGCGGCGGCGAGGGAGGCTTTGAAGTCCAGAAGTACGGCGATGGCCGGGTGGCGCTGATCGGTGAGGACGCCACTGGGGTTCAGGAGATGTGTGGATTGCTTCCGGCCACTGACTTCTGTCTGCTTCGGGTTGGCAGGGTGGCGGCGTTTGAGCTGTGTGCGGGACAGAGTTCGGGTTGACGACTGCGGACCGTAGCAGCGGGCGGGGTGGGAAGTGGGTGGGTGGGTGGGTGCGTGGGGGAAAAAGGAGGTGGGTACCAATCCAAACACCGTCCGTTCTGTTCAAGTCAGGGGGAACGCACAGCTCACGGCTCACTGTCGGAGACTGTTTCGTTCTGCTGTGGGGCTTTCCTGCCCTGTTCTGTGTATAGAACGAACGATATGCCAGCTGGTGCTGCCTGCTGCTGCAAGGTGGCTGCTGCAAGATGCGACCCGGCTAGGGCTCTCGAGAGGAAGTCCTTCAGAGGGTGAATGAAACACCGGGGCCTTCCCCGTCGCCGCTGCTGACACCACCCGGGCCCCGTCGCCGCCGCCGCCGCCCCGTCGTTGCCGCCGCCGCCGCCCCGCCGTAGGTTTTCCCTCCGTTGGTAAATCGTCGCTGCTGACGCTGCTGACGGGCACCGAGTCAGAGGCGGCGGCGTACGAGTTCACAACCCTGACCTGCATCCCTGGAGTGATCCACTACAACGATTCTAAGATCCAGCTGCTGGATCTGCCGGGAATTATCGAAGGAGCTGCGGAGGGCAAGGGCCGCGGTCGCCAGGTGCTGGCGTCGTCTCGTTTAGCGGGGGGCTGGGGCGGGACCTGCTGGGAACGAACCTTCCTATTACCTCCCGTTTAGATTATTTGCGATTGTCCTTTGATTGTGATTGTCCTGAGGACGAACACACAATCGTCCTTTGAAGTCTTTTGTGCACGTCTTCCTGTCCTTTGCTTGCCATGCTGCCATGCGATTCTTAATCCAGTGGTTTTCTGTCCACTGCTGGTGACTTGACCTTGACCGTTTTGGTCGAGGAGTCATGTGTTAGTGGTATATGCGTTTGTATGTGCGTTAGTAGTATATTTGTGCGTGTGGTATGTATTAGTAGTTGTTTTTACTTTTTTTAGTAGTTGTTTTTGCTCTCCCATGCATCCTCGCACCCACCAGTGCTCATAGCTCTTGAAGACTCGCCTCGCTGGACCTCGTGCCTTCCCTCCCTTTCCCCCCTCCTCGGTCGGCTCCTGGCTTCAAAACCGCCTACTGGCGAGTTCTGCTTCTCTTTCCTTGGCAGCAGCTTCACTCGCTCGTGGTTCGCCTTCTTACCCCCTCCTCCCCCCCTCTCTCTCCCCCCCA